TTAATCAATCTTGAACAAGTTAATCACATTATTTTTATAGCGATTCCTGTGTGGGACAATATAAGAACTCATTCGTATGCGCAATGTTCATATTGGCTCTTCAACTCAATCAAAATTTAGAAACAATAGATCATAAATTTTTAGAACCTGGACACACACATATGGAATGCGATGTAGATCATTCTGTAATAGAAAGGAAGAAGAAAGGGACAGCCACTCAAATACACCATCCTCACGACTGGTACAATTTTGTTAGATGTGTAGGTACTAAACATAAATTTAAAGTCGTTGAAATGAATTCAGAAGATTTTTATAATTTTTCGCTATTATTAAAAACAAAGTTAATCTGGAGAAACACTAATCAAGATGGTGAGAGATTTGTTTGGAAAAATATTAGATGGCTAAGATATAGAAAATCTAATTTTGGAAGAATTGAATATAAAACCACATTAGATATAAATGCTCACTTCCAAATCTTTAATTTGGTAAAACGCGGTATTAATTCAATGAAGAGAGACGACTTATATTTACTAAACGAGTGTGTCAAAATCAGCGAAAAAAAGAAAAAAGATCTGCTTGCTTTACTTCCATTTATAAACACATGTTTTCATCCTTTTTATAAAAGTTTACAAACACAGGACTGTATTGATGTACATCCAGACTTAGTCGTTTTATTTTTTTCAACACGAACTATAAATAATCAAAAGGCCTAAGTTCAGTACGAGGAAATTTTCAATATGCAGTACCCGCCTAATTCGATATATGCCAGGCAACGAAAGCAATATTACTTTACAATAAAGGCATAAGTCGAGATACTCTTTGCATATTCCCATCTTCCATTTGCAATAACCATATATGTTTTTGTTTTTTAAATATCTTCTAAGTACATGAGATTTCCACTACCGTTTTTATTCTTAGCATTGCCTGTTTAATAATCTTTGATTTAGCATAAAATTTTTCCTCATGCTCTTTCTTAAGTTTTTCAGAAACTCCTTTGTATATAAAAAGTGATTTTTCTCCAAAGCATGATTTTCGACTTAGGCTGTTATTGCTTGTGACCACAGAAATATTAAAATGTTGACGCTTTGTGGAGGAGGTACCAGAAGGAGGGGACCGATATATTCCATCTTCCCACCAGACTTTGGGTTAATAAAAATAATGTGATGTGTGTAATTTGAAGACAATCGGACACTTACACCATAAATATATATAGGGTGAGATAAAAAAAAAACTGCAACAAAGTCAAACACCATAATTTTTAAATTTTTTTTAAATGAAAAAATGTCGGAAATAGCATCAAATTTTAGAAAAAGTTTAGATTTGTTCGAATTGGTTACCTTTGGCACGAATTATGGCCTTAGCCCATTCCCGGCGATGCGCTGGCTTGAGGTGATCGAAACTTTGGTATTTTTTAGGGCCAACCTTGCTTCCCAAAATACTCCAACGGATTACTATGCGGAGATTTGGGTGGCCATTGTGCGCTGGAAATGAAGCGAGGAACCTCATTTAGTAACAATTCTTGGGTCCTGTTGGAAAGTCCAAGATCTGCGGCCAAAATGTTTGCGTACTTTAATATTTTCGCGATAATATTTCGCATTTATTCTGATGCGACACGAGCGGAGAGCGACCATCGGCTGTTATTGTGGCCCACACCATAACCATGGCCGGCGCTTGAGTTCTGGTGGCCAACCAAAGGAGCACATTTTCAGCTGACCTCTTTGGCAAGTAAACTTGATAATTTCCTTTGTTTACAGATTACTGGACAACGAATGTTTTCTCATCGGAGAAAACCAAATTCGGCATTTCACCACTTTCGGCCAAGCGAAGCAACTCTTTAGTTTTTTTGAGTCTTTTGGAATTTCTGTGGCTTTCACTCGAGCTAATTTTTCAATATTTGCCGAATGGAATATTGAGATATGTTTAGCTCACGGGCCATTTTTCGGCCACTGCGACGCGGGTTTCGATCAAGTCGCTTTTTTATTTTTCGAACCATTTCTGCTAATATTGTTGTTTTCGTCCGTCACCGTCCACTTCCTTGACGTCGGGCTACGCTATCAGTATCACGGTAACAAGCGATAGTACGAGACACAAAAAGTTTATTCACATTTAAATGCTGGAGTGCTCTAAATAAATGAATCACAATATCACGCTTGAATTCCATCACGAATAACTTTATTCTTGAAAATTCTCACCAAAAATGCTTTTTTACCCTTGTAAACAATATAATGATCTGTCACTGGAATAATTTTTACAGCTGTGGGAGTGGCTTAGAAGTTGCAGCAGTCTGAAGTTGGTTGCAGGTTTTTTCATCTCACCCTGTATATTTCATCCGATTTGGTGTTTAGGTCCCCAACATGCGTAATAAGCACTTCAGAAATACCTCAGCCAAAATTTTATCAAGATCGGGTCTGATTTGGATATAGCTCCCATACATATATTTATCTGATTTCAGGTTTTTTTCCACCAAATGGTTAATATCAGCCCAAATGGAGTAAATTGTGGCACTTCCGACCGATTTGGTGAAAATCGGTTCAGATATAGCTATGGCTCCTATATGGCTCCTCCTCACATGCGTAACATGCACTGCATTACAATGATAGTTGATACCGGGCATCACATACTGCTCGAAAATACCTCTGCCAAGTTTTATCGAGATCAGTAGTTGGATTCTCCAAGTCATTTTTTGAGTTACCGACAAAAATCGGTAACTTTGAAACCCAAAGGAAGTTAAAGTTGACAACATTGGTATCTATCGGTCGGTCTTAACGACTACTTTGATTTCGTCGCTAACTTACCGAAAAATTTCGTTAATTAAGTTTACCGACTTGTGTCGGTAATTCAAAAAATTAGTTAGAGAATTCCATTACAGTTTAGATTTTTATATAGCTTCGATATACATCTTCATCCGATTTTACGGTTATTGCTTACTATATATGTAGTAAGGCCAAATTGAATAGATTTTTTCATATTCAACCGAATTTTACCATTAAGTGAAACTTGGTGCGATATATTTATTGCTCAAATAAATATATTTTAATATAATCCTTATCGAAGCCATATCATGCACTATACAGCAATGTTATTTTTGTTACGTGAACTCTACTAAAATACGGATAGTAGTGTAGGGTATCATATAGACGGCCCCGCCAGGGGGTTTTGTACATATTTTACACAATTGCTATGTTTCAGAACTTCAAGCAGGTAAAACAAGTTGCTACAATAAACGTTTTTTCCTTTACGATATCGAAAAACATTTCAAAACGAATAGATTCTTGCAGGTTCTGGAACATGGCAAATTTCAACACTATTCTCATAAAAGATGACAATGTTTTTTTATGTTTTCTTAATTATCGACTTTCAATTTTGTAGAATTCGCATTACATACATAGAGACAGAAGTTCATTTTGAGTGACTTCTTGTGTTTTTTTTTTTTTAATATTTAATTCGATCTGTGCCATTACCCCATTTATAAAACAAAGATTTTATAAATTGCTTCTGTTTCGTTTTATTTTAATTTCACCTAAAAATATGTGTTTTTTTGTTTTTATTTTATTATTTCGTACATCTATAACTTTTAGTTTTACATATACATATATATTTTTTTTGAAAGAAATATGTACGTTTCCATCATGTTTTTAATAAAATTGTATTTTATTTTGCTTACTATTTTATATTATCACTCAATGGTTTTGTTTTTTCTCCTCTCTTTTAGAAAAATATTTAAGTGAATATGTTTTTTTTGTGGATATAATTATCAGGCATGTGCTAGAGATTTTAGATGTCTACACTGTTGTAGAAACACCCAATGAACTCCAGGGTCTCAATTCTCGTTCTTTGAAAATATAAAATGACTAGTTTTATAAAGGAAAAATATTTAATATTTAAATTAACTTTTATAAAGACTGTACTTTTTATTTCGTATTTTCACAGAACAAAAATTCGACCCCTACTCATACCCATAGTACAATGAAATCAAGGTAGGGCTTAAATTGGTTTAACATGTCAAACTTGGATGTGTATATGTGCAGTTTCTTCCCGATTATATGAAAATTGTTTAGAAAATATTCAAATTTCGTTATAATCAAAATGTTTATTACAATCCATACAGGTCTCGCCTCTTTACTTGCAACTTTTTCCAACATTGCCTACCCTATCTTCATTGTATCATGCTCATACCTGATCCTTATTTTCTATTTTCACATTATTAATTTAATAAATTATAACAACAAAAATGAAAAAACACAAAGTAACTGGGATTTCTAAAATTCGATGCACTCGGTCGTAGGGGAGGGTGGTGGTAATTTGGACCTTCGCATAAATAATTTTTACACACTTGTTCGCATATTTCTTGATACATGTAAAAATTGCTTAATTATTAAAATAAATTAATTTCAACCGTGTTCAACTTGTAAGGCTCTCCAATATGTGAACACCTAAATTTCGGCTAATATGGAGGTTCCCTAAATTCATAAGATTAGATTATTCTCAATACTGTTTTTCACAAGGTGTCTGCTGGTTACGAAACACGTAAAAAGCAGAAACGTTCGAAATATACAATATCAGAATCACCGGTTAATCCGGTTAGAAATAGGAAGTACTGCTATATGGAGTCTATACCTTAATGTGGCCCATAAAGACCATTTTCAGTAACGATCAGAAATGCCTTTCAAAACTTTTGAGTGAAGAGAGGGCCCAACCGGTAAAAACTAAATTTTCTTTACAACAAGTAAAATAGTATCGGTCAGGTTTTGCCGAAAGATGTGGACCCCCAGCCTTGAGTTATGATTATTCAAACTATTGACTCTTTATGGGGGAGGTTCTGAAGCAGTTGGCCCTTTGTGGGTGAGATACCAGAAGGGGTTGGCAGATGTATATGATCTTCACAACAGATCTTGCGTTAGCAAAAAAATTTGTGTGTGCGTGAAATTTGAAGAGAATTGGATGTTTACTTCGTTTACTTTGACCGTTTTGTTTTTAAAAATCTTGAACCGCATGTGCGGGATGTACCGGATGGAATGGTGTGATCTGTACCATCTTTATAACAGATCTTGTTTTGATGGAAATATTGCGATGTTCCAAGTCTGAATGGAATCGGATGTTAATTTAGTGTTTTATGAGCTCCATGAATATTCAAAATTTTGACCCTTTGTGGGGGTGGTACCAAAGGGAGTAGACTGATATATTCCATCTTCACACCAGATCTTAGGTTAATAAAAATATTTTGATGTGTGCAATTTGAAGAGATCCGGATGCTTATTTCGGATTTTATAATCGTTTTAGTTATTCAAAATGTTTACCCTTTGTGGGGGAGGTACCAGAAGGACAGGTCCAATCTCTTCCATCTTTATAGCAGATCTTATGTTGATGGAAATATTGAGATTTACAAAGTCTGAATGGTATCGGACGTTATTTTCGCGTTTTATAAGCTTCGTGAGTACACAAAATGTTGACCCTTTGTGGGGGTGGTACCAGAAGCAGTCGACCGATATATTACATCTTCACACCAGACCTTGGATTATCAAAAATATTGTGATGTGTGTAATTTGAAGACAATCGGACTCTTACATCACATTTTATAAGAGTTATAATTATTCAAAATTTTGACCGTTTGTGAGGGACGTAATTGACGGAGTGAACCGATTTGTCGATTTACGCACCTGACCTGGCACAGATGCAAATATTAGGATTTGCAAAGTTGGAGCAAAATCTTATTATGCTTCCTCTTTCTGGGCTGTAAGTTATTTTTTTTTTTTTTTTGAAAATATTGACATTTTGTGGGGGAGGTACCAGAAGGAGTGGACCGATATTGTCCATCTTCGAACTCGATCTAAGTTTGACAATAATATTACGATGTACCAAATTTGGATTAAATCAAATGCTTCCTTCGAGAGTTATCGTGCGCACCAGCCAGACAGACGGACGGGCACGGCTATATCGACTCTAAACGTCCTGAAACGGATTTGGTTCAAAGAGACCCAAGGTCTAAACACGTTATTTCGATGAGGCATGTTTTGGCCGTACCAAATGATATATACCCTCCCTAGCCATATGCTTGAGGATATAACAAGTAAAAAAGCAGTAAGTTCGGCCGTGCCGAACCAGTTGGAAATTTTCGAAAAAAATTAAATTCGTTGAAAATTCTGTTAACATTTTAAAAATACCGAATATTGGAAGTCGCCGTTATGTTGGCGTGGACCAGCATAGGCATAGGTTTTGTCATAGGCCATTACAATATTCCAACACGAAACGGTGAATAATGTCGCTAAAATCATCAAAATACGGAATATCGTGGGCCTACATAGACATTACTCTTCCAGGGGTAAAGTACTCTGAAGGAACTCCCTGTGTGAATTTTCAGACAATTCCATTGAAAAATTTGGCTACAATCACAAAAATACCGAATATCGGGAGGTACCGTTATATGGGGGCTATAAGAAGAACTGGACCTGAATAGACAATTTTCTGTCACGGGCTCTAGTACCCATTAGGAACTTCAAATACGAAATTTGAAACAATTCGGCGAATAATGTCGCTAAAATCACAAAAATAGGGAATATAGGGAGGTACTGTTATATGGAGGCTATACGAAGACCTGGACCTGCATAGACAATTTCCTGTCACAGGCATGTTCCAGAAACTGTTAAGAAATACAAGTTCTCCAATTTTTATCTTCTTCTCATTCAAAAATTTGAAAAATCCTTACAAGTTTGTTTTTGTATGGCAAACACATCTCGAAGAATCGGAATATTTTTGCACGCTGCATCGAATTTTAGGTCACCCTGTAAAAAATGTAAGTAATTATGTGAAAACAAATATATGTATAATCTAGAAACAAGGAATGCAATCTCTAAAATATTGTAAAAATTAAAAACAAAAATTACTAAATGCTAATGTTTCGTTTTTTTTTTTTAATATTTAGAATAATAATAATGCTATGAAAACAATATCTTATATCCTAAAAAAACAAAAAAATATATATATTTGATGTGTCTAAAAAGAGAGTTTAGTGTTTAACACTACTTAAAATTAACAAGTAGATGAATGTTTAATGCATTGTTTTTGTTTTTTGTTTTAAGTTTATAAAGTAATCAAAGTCCATATCTTAGAAACTAAATTGGCAAAGTGAAGTAATTTTTGTTTTACTTTTTTTTTTAAATTTACAAAAAAATGGTTATATATATAGATAAATACAACAAAGATGTAGAGATGATCAAATCAAGTGAATACAATTTACTACATACATACACATGCTGTACATACATAAAATAGGGGTTTTTAGGGGGGGAAAACAATGTTTGCCAAGAGGATTCTAAATGTTTTATTCATAAAAGCCTTTTAATACACCTACATTTTTTTTGGGAACAATTGTCCATTTTAGAATCTTCTTCTGTTTTCACTTGTTTTTTACAATACAACCTTAAATTGTTTTCTTTACTTGCATTTTAACAATATTAACGTTTGTTTTGAAAATACATACATATTGACTTTTAAAAATTATATATCTCTTTAGAGCGAGTTTTTATATGTGTGTTGTTATTGTTATTAGTTGCTTTGTGATTTTTTTTTCGTTTTTTATAAATAAATTCAATATAGGATGGGCATTTTGTTTTGTTATGTTATTTTGTATGAAGCCGCTGCGCTGTTTCGTCTTGCCTAAGCTTTGTTATTTAGAAAATACTATTTTTTTTTGTTTTGGTTTTGCATTATAAAATAAAGTAAATACATGGATTATTTGTTTTTTTTTTATAAGCTGAAATTGACTGTGTGATTGATAGTACTGAGTGGGTGGGTGTATGTGTGTATGTCAACAATATTTAGCATTACAATTAATGTCAAAGATATTCAAGTATTTTATATGAAATGCTTGCTGGGTAATGAGCTGTTCTGCTTGGAAAGTTTTCAAAAATGAAATGTTCAAAAAGTTTGCTGGGTAACTTGCCCTTTTAATTAAAGAAACAAGTAAAATAGTATCAGTCGGTTTTGCCGACAGATGTATACCCCCCGCCTTAAGTTATGATTAGTTGGCCAATATATGCAAAATCATAAATTTCGATCAATTACATATTCATATCAGATTTCTGGTTAAGAGAAATATTTAGATATAGCAAGTTATCTTTATAACCGACCTGTTTTGGAAGTTATGACAGATAAAATTATTGAAAATTGTGATCCTTTGTGGGTGAGGAACCAGAAGGGCTTCGCAGATATATATCAACCTCACAACAGCCCTTTTGTTAACAAAAATGTTTATATGTGTGAAATCAGTAGAGAGTTGGAAGCTTATTTCGCATTCATCCTTTGCGTTTTGTTTTTCAAAATATTGAACTCTATGTGGGGGAGGTACCAGAAGGAATGGACCGATCTCTACCTTCTTTATAACAGATCCTGTGTTGATAGAAATACTCAGAGGTGCCAAGTCTAAGTGGAATCGGATGTTGAATTCGCGTTTTATGAGCTTAATGGATATTCAAAGTTTCGATCTTTTGTGGGGGAGGTACTAGAAGGAGTGGACCGATATCTTCCATATTAACACCAGATCTTGGGTTTATAAAAATATTGGGGTGTTTAAAATTTGAAGACAATCGGACTCTTACAGCACATTTTAAAAGAGTTGTTATTATTCAAAGCTTTGTCCCTTTTTGTGGGGGAGGTACTTGATGGAGTGGACCGATATTGTCCATTTTCGCACTTGACCTAGAACTGCCGCAAATATTAGGATTTGCAAAGTTGGAGCAAAATCGTATGATCCAATTTCTCTTTTGTGCAAAAAATATATTTTTTTGAAAATTTCCACCTTTTGTGGGGGAGATACTAGAAAGAGTGGACCGATATTGTTCATCTCCGAACTTGATATAAGTTTGACAAAAATATTACGACGTACCAAATCGGATACTCCCTTCGGGAGTTATCGTGAGCTCCAGCCAGACAGACGGACGGACGGACTGACATCGCTAGATCGACTCCAAATGTCCTGAAACGGAATTGGTCCAAAGATACCTAGGGTCTAACCCGTTATTTCGGTTAGTCACGTTTTGACCGTGTCAAATGATATACACCCTCTGTAGCCATATGGCTGAGGGTACAAAAATGGTCCTGACTTGTCGACTACGATGTGGAATACCTTTTTTAAAGTTAAAGATTAAAAATAACATTTGTGGGATTTTTTTCAAAAATTTTGCTGGGTAACTAAAGAAACAATAATTCTGACATCAGTCACTGTGTAGAATCCCTTCTTTCCCCGAATTATTATTACAATGTTCGGAAAAGACTCGAAAATTAGATTTTTGGGATCATATTTCAAAAAGTTTTCAAGTTACACAGTTCTATTACTGAAAGAAACAATAGTCCTGACTTGTCGACCACCATATGGAATACCTTTTTCTAGTTATTATTTATTTTTTGGAAAAGACTCAAAAATGAGATTTGTAGGCACCTGTTTCAAAAAGTTTTCTGGGTAACTTGCTTGTTTACTTGAAGAAGAAATATTCCTGACTTCGATCATGGTGTGGAATACCTTTTTCGAATCATTATTTATTGTTTGGAAAAGACTCGAAAATTACATTTGTGGGATCCTGTTTCAAAAAAAATTTGCTAGGTGACTTGCTTGTTTAAAAAAAAACGAATTATTATTCCAATGTTCGATTTGGAAAAGATTCGAAAATTACATTTGTGGGAACCTGTTTCAAAAAGTTTGCTGGATAACTAGTTGCTTTCTTTAAAGAAACAATGGTCCTGTAGTGGAACTTTCTAACTCATTTTATGAGTTACCGACAAAAGTTGGTAAAATTAAAATGCTTATAATTTCGGAAAATAACAAAATTTGTCGGTAAGTTAGCGACGGAATCGAAATAGTCGCTAAGACCTAAGGATAGATACCAATTTTTAAATTATTTTTTTATATAAAATTTTTGCCTCTCAAAGTTACCGATTTTTGTCGGTAGCTCAAAAAATGAGTTAGAGAATCCCACTACTGATTCCTGACTTGACATCTGTCATTATGTGGGAACTATTTTTCCATGGTACAATAAAAAGGGTATTTTAGACCTACCAGATGATTACAATTTTCTTTTTCTAAGTGTGCCCGACTTCTGCCAATTTTTTGCATGTATTTACTGTTTGAAAAATAAAAACAAAATATTTTCAAAATCAATGTAGAAGAAATTTAAATTGCGGGTCGCGTTTATAATATTAACCAGATTCGCCATGGAATTTAAAGATTGGACACTTAAAATCATATTTTTGAGAGAACATCCAGACATTTTATTCATCTTTCGCTTTATATTATATATAATTTTAGAAATGAACAAAAAGACCAAATAAATGAAAACAATTTGTTGCATATAATTTTGAATAATTCTGACAGGAAGCGTTCATAGCCTCAGGGCTGTATTACTGTAGTTTTACGAAGCTGTTCTACCTGCTTATTGTACCATATCTTTTTTGAATTATACTTCGTTTTCAAAAAAATCTGGTGGGTTCTCTGTATTGATGACAAAAATATACAGACGCCACATAGAGGCATTTATAATTTATCAATGGAATCAGAACTACTTCTATATAGATTTCCCCCAGGTTTCTCTAATCAGTCCACAAGAAATGCACAACGACATATCATCCTTTACCCAGTGCGGAGTAAAGTATAAAACAGAATCCTGATGTACAGCTACTGTTTTCCTGCTATAAACAATCTATTAATAAAAGATAATTAATAAGAAGGATTTTTATAATTATAAATACCACATTTTAACTTACTTATTATGCTGATTATGTTTCGATCTTCTAATATTTAATTAAATTATCATTGTTCAATGATCTTTTTAATTAAATGTAGTAATTTGTGGATTTCAAATGATTAATCACTTCAATATTGTCTTCTCTTACCCAGCAAATAATTTCAATAACTTTTTATAAATGAATACCCTTAACAATAACTTCTTGCAAATATATACTTCACACCACCCACTTCTCTTTAGGTGTATATAAATATTTTTGTTAAGCTTGTATCTTATGATTATCCAGTTACATAGATTAGATATATAGTTGCACTGCTGTATTATTGTTAAACGTTAAAATGTGTTCTCTCTCTCTCTCGTTGCTCGGTCGTATTATTTTGTATTCATATTATGTGTGTATGTATGTAATATGTATATGTGTGTGTCTTTATTTGTTGCGTCAATGTATGTGTTTTTTTTTTTTTTTGGGAGTGAGCTTCTTACATTTGTTTCTCCGGCATTTTATTGTATTTCAAATTGATTTGTACACTTTGCGAAAACATTTTTATAATGGCATAGTAATCGTTGGTAAATACTTTTAAAAAGCTCGGTATATTCTTAACAGCTAATTCAGAACAAAATTGTGGATACTTGCGATAAGCTGGCTGCATATCATCCCATATTGATAATAGATCACATTCATTACTGCGTTTTTTTTTTGGGCATGAAAAAAATAAATAAAATAGGTTAATTAATAAGCAAGTAAACATAGTCCACAGTCGAGCGGGCCCGACAAAATAATACACTACAACATTAAAATTTACGGTAAAGTTTCTGTAAATCTGAAACCATTTGGACATTTTGGATCACTGAAGAATCCTACAAGATATTGGGCTATAAAATTGGACTACTTAAACTCATTACATATCTCTATTTAACAGTTTTGCAGACAGATGTATACCCCCAACCTTAAGTTATGATTATTAAAACTGTTTACCCTTTGTGCGGGAGGTTCCGAAGCAGTTGGACAATATTGACCAATTCGTATCTGACCTAAGACTAATAAAAATAATAAAACGTGCCAGATTTGGTCTATATCGACTACTTTCTATAATTTATATGAGATATGTGCTAATTTTTGAAAAATGTGGAAATATGCGTGAAATATTGGTATGTGCACAATTTGAAGGAAATCGAACATTTATATCCAATTTTATGCGAAATTATAAATTTCGATAAATTACATATTCATATTAGATTTCTGGTAAAGGGAAATATTTAGATATAGCAAGTTGTAAAGAATCAACGACATGTTTCGCAAGCTATGACATGTATATGTATTGGAAACCCTTTATGGGTAAGGAACCAGAAGGGGTTCACAGATATATATTATCTTCACAACAGTTCTTGTGGTAGTAAAAATGTTTGTCTGTGTGAAATTTCAAGTGAGTTGGATGCTTATTTCGCTTTCTTTGACCGTTTTGGTTTTCAAAATCTTGCACCCTATGTGGGGGAGGTACCAGAAGAAATAGCCCGATTTCTACCATCTTTATAAGGGATCTTGTGTTAATCGAAATATTGAGATGTACCAAGTATGAATGGAACCGGATGGTAATTTCGCGTTTTATGAGCTTCATGCGTACTGTTGACCATTTGTGGGGAAGGTACTAGAAGGAGTGGACCGATATATCCCATCTCCTCACCAGACCTTGGATTAATAAAAATATTGTAATGTTTGAAATTTGAAGAAAATCAGACGTTTCTTTCGGATTTTATAAACGTTTTGGTTATTCAAAACTATCACCCTTTGTGGGGGAGGTACCAGAAGCAATGGTCCGATCTCTACCGTTTTTTAACAGATCTTGTATAGAAATATTCAGATGTCAAAATGGAATCCGATGTTAATTTCGCGTTTTATGAGCTTAGTGGATATTCAAAATTTCGATCTTTTGTGGGGGAGGTACCTGAAGAAGTGGACCGATATATTCCATCTTAACGCCAAATCTTGGGTTTATAAAAATATTGGAATGTGTGAAATTTTAAGACAATCGGATTCTTACATCACATGTTATAAGAGTTATAATTATTCAAAATGTTGACCCTTTGTGAGGGAGATACTTGATGGAATGGCCCGATATAATCCAATTTTGCACCTGACCTAGAACTGACGCAAATATTAGGTTTTGCAAAATTGGAGCAAAATCGGATTATTGCTTCTACTTTTGTGCAGAAAATTTATATTTTTGGAAAATTTCGACGTTTTGTGGTTAGGTACCAGAAGGAGTGGACCGATGTATTCCACCTTGACACCAGACCTTGGGTTAATAAAATTATTGGGATGTGTGAAATTTGAAGACAATCGGACTCTTACATTACATTTTATAAGAGTTGTAATTATTGAAAATTTTGAGACTTTGTGGAGGAGGTACTTGATGGAGTGGACCGTTATTATCCATTTTTGCACTTGTCGTAGCACCGACGCAAATATTAGTATTTTTAAAGTTGGAGCAAAATCGGATTATCGTTTCTCTTTCTGTGCTGAAAATATATATTTTTAAAATTTCGAACCTTTGTGGGGGAGGTATTAGGAGTTGACCGATATTGCCCATCTCCGAACTCGATCTAAGTTGACAAAAATATTACGATGTACCAAGTTTGAACCAAACCGGATACTCCCTTCGAAATTTATCGTGCGCACCAGCCAGACAGACGGTCGGACGGACATCGCAAGATCTACTCCAAATGTCCTGAAACGGATTTGGTTTAAAGAAACCCAGGGTCTAAACCCGTTATATTGACTAGGCACGTTTTATTTCATTTTTCATTTCATTTATTTATTTATATGTTGCAATGAAAAAGCCATTAGGCCAATAAGTATCACAACTATCAAAACTACAAAAGTGTACTCCAAAATAAAAAAAAAACATCTTAAAAATATTACATAGTGTATCTTAAAGTAACCTAAGAAATCATATGTAAAATATGGACAAAAAGGCTCCCCAGCCAATGAAAATAAATTTAAGTCTATTGCTGGTAATAAAAAAAAACAATATTTAATCAAACGATACAGTATCGTCAATATCATTAACAAACAAATTGTTAACCTCCATTTGCCTCTACAAAGTTTTCAAACATGCGGCGAAAAACACCGCGGGAAAACGAGAATTTTCGTAGCTCAGCTGGAAGCTGATTCCAGATTCGTGCGGAACGAACTATGAAAGATCTTTCATATAGAGACGTAGAAAAATGAGGGAAAATTATTTGCGTATTCCTAGTAGACCGAGAGAACACTAGCCGATCTCGCTGAAAACCAGGAAGATTTAAACAGATACATTTATATAGAAATGAAACCACGCGTTGTTTAACAAAAGTAGAGAATGACACTCCTAAAAAGAGGACTGCATGCGCAGAAATATGGTCAAAACGACGCAAATTATAAACATATCTTACAATGATGTTAAAAAGTTTTTCTAATTTCATTAAATACTCATGTGTTGTACCAGAAATCACTTCAATACAGTAGGAAAATACCGAAAATAACATAGAATGAGCAAGATTTCTCTTTACAAATAAGGGCAAATAGAAATCAGTTGAGTGTAATTTTCGGAGCATATTTATAACTTTGGGGTACAGTGCATCAATATGCAAAGAAAAATCAAGCTTGGCATCAAGAACAACACCTAAACAATTTATGCGGTCAACAAAATCCACCGCTACACCATTAACCTGTATATTAATACCGCTATTCAGTCGGCAAGGTGAACCAAATGTCATTGCTTTTGTCTTAGAAACATTTACTACTAGATTATTATTTCTCAACCAACGTGAAATATTACCTAATGTTGTATTTATGGTATTCTCTAGTTGAAAGTCTGATTGACCTTTAAAAAATAAATGAATGTCGTCCGCATACATAAACGGATGACAGTCGCAATTAGTTAGAATGCTACTAATGTCATTGACATATAAAACAAAAAGAAGCGGACCTAAAATTGAACCTTGAGGTACCCCGCTGTAAATATTACGTAAGCTGGATGCCTCGCCATTATATGAAACATATTGAGAACGTCCAGATAAATATGAAGCAATTAATTTACAAGAATTACTGTCAAATGCATATAATGAGAACAGTTTCTCAATCAGCATTGAATGATCCACACAATCGAATGCTTTCGAAATATCCAGCGCAACAAGAACACCACTATCACGTCCATCAATTGTCTCTCTAATCAAGTCAGTTAAGTCTACTAAAAGTGAAGTAGTGCTGAGACCACGCCTAAATCCATATTGATAATTAATCAAAAATTTATTGTCATCTATAAATGATTGAATCTGCAGCCTTATGAGATGTTCGGCAACTTTAGAAAGCGACGGTAGTATACTTATAGGTCTCAAATTCTCAATAGTGTTCCTTCCTTTATTTTTGGAAATAGGGAAAACCCTAGCAATTTTCCAGTCATTCGGGAAGGTCGATGTTGTAAACATTGTATTAAAAATATAGGTGAAATGTCTAGAAATATATGGATAGATTAATTTCAAAAATTTAATGGGTACTCCATCAACACCTACAGACTTCGATTTGACCTGCTGAAAGGCTTCAAATACATCTATCTCGAAAACACAATTAAAAGAAAATGTATGACGTTGTCTATCAATATCTGGAAAATCAACAATAACATTGCCAATACCATTTTCTTGAGTAAAATATTCATTCAAAACATTAACATCAAAGTCAGTTGAGAGGTTGACGTCATTGTCAACGATACCACCGGCATGAAGTTGTCTCCAGAGATGAGTAGCATTTAGTCCATTGAAAATTTGTTCATAATATTTTTTACGTTCCTTTCTAAGAATAGACTTAGCTTTGTTTCTGAGGGTTCGATACACCGCCATATTTTGCAGCGTAGGAAATTTTAAATAATTTTTGTACGCCATATCACGCAAAGAGATCGCCAGTATTATAGATTTACATTTCAGCCACGGATCCAAGGAATGTACAACACGCTTTCTAACGATAGGAACATATGAAAAAAGATTAGCAATAAGCAACTGGAGAAACGAAAGCTGTAAATTAATATCAGATGTACTATATAAACTACTAAAGTCAACATTGACGAGATAATCAAGCAGACCGTCCCAATTTATATCATTATAGTTCCGAAATTCAAAAAAATGTTCTGCTGATGTCAAATTTATATTAGTGATACCAAAAATTAAAGAATGGTGAGAAATAGAAGGACATTGGACTTGATCAGAGGAGATAAGAGAACAGAGGTGACTGCAGGCAAAAAAATCAATAAGAGAAACAGAATCAGTAGCAATATTAAAATGGGTAGGCAACGAGTTATGAGTAATTGATATACCAAGACGAAGACAAACATTCCTCATTTCAGACGATTTTGAAATGTCGAACAAGTTACAATTAAAGTCGCCGACAACAATTATAGATTCGTATCTGGACAAAATATCTTTATGTATCTCCTCAAAGTTATGAATATTACCATGTGGCAAATAAACAACACCAAAAAGGACTTTACTTAAACCAAAAATAAGTTCTATAAATAAAGACTCGCAAACTCCAGGATTTTCAGAGCGAAAAACCACCTTATACTTAATATTTTTTAAAATATAAATACCTACACCTCCTCCACGAGCGCTAGGTCGGTCATTGCGGACAAATGAGTAGCCCGGAATCGCAACAGTTTTCGACGAAACGTAAGGTTTCAACCAAGTCTCGGAAACAGCGAACAACCCAAAACCACTATCACAAATAAGATTTTTAAGCTCACAAAGGGTGGTATTATAAATGGACGGACGCAAACTATGACAATTTAGATGACCAATGGACATACAATTTGAATATTGACTCAATCTGTTTTTGAAAAAAGACGAATTACCAACAATAGGACCAAGGTTATTTGAAATCATTGGAAATAAAAATAAATATTATGCTGGGGAACTTAATTGAAACCGAAATTGAGATCAAAATGAGATTATATATTAAAATAATTATAAAACAAAAGAAAAATAGAAAGAAATCAAGGCAAAAAAACATATTCAAAGAAAAAAAAAAAAATAAGAATATGAAAACTAATTCAAAACAAGAATATTAATATAACATTTGACTCAGGAAGAATCCTTAAGAACTACTCAAAAATTAATTCAAATAAAATTTTCAGCTATGATTCCATAATGCCTCACAATCATCAATTCTAAGAAACCGTTCATTGCCATCCGGAAGCAAAACATTAACTCCAGGCTCATCACCATTAACTAGTATAAATTTTGTAATTTTCCTTTGGTTTCTAAGTTGTCTGCAAACATACATTAACCTGGCAGAAGCGGGAGTCAGGTGATCGTCTATATACACATTCGTTTGTAGATTTCCACCAATAACAGCATTCAACTTAATAGGAGGACCTCGACGGTAATTAGCCATAATACTGTCTCTTAAAAGCACAGAGTTCAATTTAACCAAAATGGATTTACCACCGGCAAAATAACAGCAATGCTGTATATCAACTTGATTAATGCAGACATGACAAATGGCTGCAATTTTAATAACAATGTCGCTTATATTGTGAAGACCACTAGGAAGGCCATTAAGGACAATATTTGAACGGTTTAGACGGCGTTGAAGAATCCCATTCTGTACCTCCATCTTCTCAATTCGTTTTCGGAGAGAATTAATACTCGACATTGAGGACTTGCATATCTCAATTTCCCCTTTGATGGTACTTAGCGTTGAAGATAATGACCCAATCTTGTCTTCACATTTCTTAACATCGTCCGAAACTTTGCGCAACCCATCCAGAAACTCCTCCCGAAAAGATGCAACGACATCATCCAAAGCCTTCTGAAAATCGGCAACATATGATTGCATTTGTTGTTCAATTTTAGTTTTCAATGCCGAAGCCATATCATTCACGACAGCAGTAACATGGTTAATAACATCATTGTCACCAGTACGACCAGAATTACTACATGAAGGTTTTTGTGAAATTTGTGAACATTTATTGCATTTATACACCAATCCTTTGTTTGCTTTAACTTCATTGATGCTCTTACCAATACATGCCGGATGGAAAAAATTGGGACAAGTAGAGCATCCAACACTGTAGACTTTACCAATAGTTTTACCACAAATAGGACATGTATAAATTTTAGATCTGGTTGACATCATAAGAAAATGGTTGCAAATACAAAAAAAACCAATCGATAATTTGTTTGTGTCACAAGTGGCGCATCAAAATAAACAGTGTTCTTCTTATTCTTCTTCTCAGCGCAGCCGTGTAGAAGTTGTTAGTGTATCAAAGCACATAAACAATTTTGTTATCTTCTCCTTCTTAGCGCAGCAGTGTAGTTTTTGGTGTATGAAGGCACGTAGTTATTGTAGCTTAATCAGCGTGAATATCAAATATTTCAGCAAATCTTCATAAGGCGTGATCAGATATAGTCGAAAACTAGTAGCACAGGTGTATTTTACTCCGAAAAATAGTATACTTTTTACATTTAAAGATTTTTCCCGAGAGCACAGCAAAAAATTTTGCAATTCATGTCAGTGCTGCCAAAGCATATCAAATCATATATACCCCCTCTAACCATATGGCTGAGGGTATAACTCAACGCTGATCATGAATATATGTAATTTTTTGAGTCTAAAATGACAAATGGATTGATAAACTTGATATACCGTCATGTTATGGTGCAGGTTATAAAAATACCTAACACGAACTGTTGGGGCGAATCTGAAATTTTAAAGCGGACTTTTCACTGTCGAAATAGCGGCCACTTGCTAGTAAAAATAAAATTCATCCTTTAGTTGCCCCTTCTATTTCGGTTACTTTGCTTTGTAAACTTTCAAAACTCTAATATACGTGTCTTCTGTCTCAATTTTTTATTGCGTTGCACATTTATATTAACGCCATCTAGCGACACATAGCTATAACCACAAATTGTATAGTTGAGATGATTTCAAGAGGAAACGTTTCAAATAAAATTGCAAAATAAATTGCAAACATACGTTTTCAACTTACCTTATATGATTTTCACAATCCTTAACTGTTATAATTAAATACTGTATTTTTAATTGTGAACATTGATTGTAAATGTCAGAAGACTGCTGCCGACTAAATATACTATATACATGTTCTGTACGTTCACTAAAAATATAGAAAAAAGAAAAGATAATCTTGTTTAACTACCGGTTTATATATAGAAAACATGTAAGGTCCCAGTACACTCGAAGAAAGTTTGCCAGAAAGTAACGTGAGGTTTTGGGAAAGAGATTTAGATTTTGTTCCGCCACTAGTCAATAAAGTCTCAACAGAGTTTTGAAGACCTGAATATGGTATTTCATAAATTTTCTCCATATTTTAGATGATTAATTTACTGTCGTAAAGTTAATTTTATAGGCTTAACTTTGAATGTAGATGGATTGGTCATAAATGAAATTATAATGCATGACTTATAAAAAAATTGCTAAAGACAAATTAAACTCCCTTCTTACATTTTCTTTAATTTCGGCAAACTTTCTACGCATAGGGTAAAAAGGAATAAATATAGATATTAAAACTAATTTAAAATTGTTGTTACCTTATTTGTTTCATTTCCAAATGAGCATGATTTACAATCGGTCTTCTTGTGGATAAATGCACAGTACCAATTATATCAATTGGCCCTACAAAAGAAACATTTGTAATTATTTTTTCTATTCAACTTATTCATAAAACACGAAGCCTTTGTTGGTTTTATGGCGACACTTAAAACTGCTCTTGACATTTAAATTTACCTGCAAATACTGCATCTTTTTCGGTATTCATTTTAATCCATTCCAGCATAGTATCCAAATCGTCATTTATCAATTTAACATTTGTCGATGGGAAATATTCCTCTTGGATATTCTAAATTTGCGTAGAAGGAAATATTATTTTAATTAATGAAATCATTTAAAAATATATTGGCAATCTCTCACCTTAATGCCCGGATTAACAATGCTCGTCAAGAAGACCAACAAATATGCAGTCCAGAAAATGCGTCGATTTTTATTCGACATAAACGAGGAACATATCGTGGAACCAAGTACACAACCTTGTGTAAAGCAAAGGAAAAATAATTTCCTTATACTCAAGCCCATAAATGTGAAAACAGTCATCTGTAGGAAACTGTAGAGATAGTGAAAACTGCGATAATTACAGGTATTTTCGTCGTCATCATCATCGGCATCGTAGCCGAAATCATGATTGGAGTCATTGGTATTTTTGGACTGTTGGCGTTTTGTAGTTGGTTTTGATTTGCTTGCAGAATCAGACGCTGTAGCATTGGAAGATGATGTGGTGTTTTTACCATTTACGGACGGCATATCTTCTTCGGTTTGTGTTTTACTTGTTTCTTTGTTACTACCATTTGTGGTATTTGGCGAGGCGGTAATGTTTGTATTTTCCATATTGTCACTATCCGAGGATGCGGAATGATTTTGTTTTTTCGATACATCAGAATCATCTTTGGATTTTTCCTCAGCATCTTTGTGTTCACGTTGCTCGTGAATTTGTTCTTTCAATTTTTTGATATCATTTAGGAATTCCATGTGTTCATTGGGTTTGTCTTTTTTCGAATTGGTCTTTTCTTTCTTATAACGTTCATAATCATAATCACACTTGGCCAAAAGATCTAGGCAATCATTGAGCATAGCTTCTGTTTCTTTTTTCGACATGTCCTGCATACTGACACGATTTTCTTCAAGAAAATCTTCCAATATGTATTTTTTCGCTCTTTCAATGACATCGGTGTTGGGCTCCTTGACTTCAGTTGATTTACGCCATTTGCGAAAGAATCTTGCCATAATTACAACTCCATATAGGCAATATGGTTTGACGATGAGATTTTTTATAAAACCCCACAGTTCTGACCATTGCATGCGTTCATAATCAGGATTACAGGCCGAAAGGCTGGTAACAAAATTAACTTTTGCCTGTAGAATCCAATGTACAATGAGATCGCGATAGAGAACAAAGGTGTTCTCCGATGACCTTGCCAGCCCAGACATTTCTAGAATATCAATTATTGTGCCCTGAGAACATATTGAAATCAAAACGCCCAAGGGAATTGTTTTGAATAGAAATTCTGCTGTGTTTTCTGTTATTACACCCAACTCTGATTCCTTTTGGGGATTTGTTGACGGAGTGGGCTTTTTCAAAATTCTCACGGCTGTAATCAACGATAGACCCACCAAGGGTCCCAACTGCCAGCCAAAAAGATATCTACGATTTCCAAATGAATAATAATACGCCAAGAAATTTGCCAATAACTGGGATGTTACATAGTCCATGGTAAATAGGCCCACAACACGATTCGGAACTCCACTTATAGACCAGGGAAGCATTAATATTAGAATTTGGCTAGCAAAAATAATAGCTGAAAATTGCCAGCACAAAAGAGCCACTGTTGTTAAATATATCATCTTCAGTATCTGCAAAGAAAAGGAAATTAAAATAAATGGGTTAATCCCCTCAATCACTACACACCAACAACACTCAGAACAACTGGCCAACTCACCGTCAACAACGACATTCTGTATTGCTTTCTCTCCGTTACACGATTTATGCAAATGCATAAATAGAACATTTGTACAAATATAGCGGGAAATGCAAAATTTTCTCTGGCCATTGGCCTTTCATAGATTTTCGCCGCAAAACTATGAAACATAATGTAGGACACTACAGCATAAATGCCACCGAATAGATTGCGACTCAATAGCAAGCCATACATGTATATTATCAAGACGGTGAGGCCTCCCAAAAGCCATACACATTCAAAGTAGAATTGTAAAGCCTGTCCTTCACATCGGCCGTGTTCAAGTGTCAGACGTATATCATCCGAACGCCAACAACTCAATAAAGATAAAATACCCAATCTGCTGTGGGAGCGTAATAAATGATAAAGAAATCTAGAATAGAGAATATGAAAATAAAAAAGTAAATTAGTATAATAAAACAAAAATCAATCACAGTGAGGTTCTAGTGACAAAAAGATGCACTACACTAAGGGAATTTGGAAGAAACGCATTTTTTCATAAAATTTGTAGATTTTTTGATAACCTTATATCAGAATCGGGAAATCATATAAGTTGAAGATGCATCTGAAAAGGTTGTATTCATTTGTGCCATTACATTCGAGTGTCAGCTGACAGTGATCGAGTTAGATCAATGTCAGGCTGACACCCACATATTTGAACTAAATTTGGCAAATCCTTGGATGCAGGGCTGTATTTCCATAAAGCATAAAATCGAAGAAATCGTTTATACGAGCAGCTCCATTATCTTGAAGATTTGAACGAAATTTAGGAAAGGCGCGAAACTAAGTAAAGCTGTATAGATCTCAACAAAATTTGACAGAGGTCTTTCAGGGTAAGATTTAATGTCTCATATTTAACACCGATATAGCGTTTGGTGTTACAACACTACGAAGCTAATTTTAAACAATCACGGGACTTGGCAACATCAGACAATGCTTTTCTCAAAACAGCTATATAATACAAAATAAAATGCATACATTAATAACATCAAAGGGAAATAGTGTAGGGTACAACAACAACAACAAAACATATTCATAATTAATCACACACTTTGTTTCGATCAATATCTAATTCAACAACAAGATTGTGCACAGGGCGCCAAGACTCAATTAGTGAATGACGATGAGAGGGTTTGTCACTCACCAACACACACTCCCACTACCTACCCTATTGTTATCTCCGGCAGCACATGAAATCTACTTAAAACGTTGACACTATTTGGATATTCAATAGCGGTTACATTCATTAACTGCTCACAGCCTGTCCAAAAGTCAGGGGCCTCGGTTAAAGTCTTGTAAAAGCTATGATACAGGGCATCTTCACGCCGAAACAAGGATTCACGTTCCAATTGTGTTAGATGGGCCATATTTGTACGATTCTCGAACAGATTTCTTACATGGTGGACATACAGGAAAAAGAATCCAGTGCCTAAAGTTTAGAAGATGACAATCATTATTGCATTTAATTAAGTTCGCTATTCATTTCAACATACCAATTAATGACTGGGCCAGCATCAGCACCAGTTTTGGTTCCCTCATATTGGGCCGTGAGTCGTTGTTGTTTTGTTCTTTCTGGTCTTTTTCCACTTTTTCACCTGACTTTTCTGAGGTTGTTTACCCTTGACTTCTTGATAAGCACTCAGAAACAAGGCCGTTGTCTTCGCCTCAACAACAACATCAATGCATTAAACTTTGTGTGTGTGTGAGAGTTTTCTTATGTTTTTGGTAACTTGTATTTTTGTTTATTATTTATACATGTTGTAAATCTGGCCCTTCTCTTTGGTAAATTGCAGTTTTGGAAAGAAATAAAAGATTTTCCGGCTAATGTCAATAGTTGAATCGTTCCGGAACAAACTAGTTCAAATGAACTATTCCGTAAAATGAACTAAGGGAACTAGATTCAACTCTTTCGCTCAGCTATTTCTTCCATTCACTTCGCCCATTGGATTATGTTAACAGCTGATTATTAAATCGACGCCGGGTGGGGTTAACGCCGACAGTCATCGTTGATATATTTATTTGCAGGGGATTTACATCGCATCGACAAAGCTGCTGGGACAATGAACTGTCAAACAAATTTTGGAATTTAACATTTTCAATCAAAAAGATTGAACTCAAGCTCAAACAATTGCTATTTGTTAATTTTCAATGAAAAATTATTCAAATTTGTAAAAATTGTTTTAAAAAGGCATATCACAACAATCCCCGATTGGCCACGTAAGAGAGAACATATAAAAATCTTCATATTTTTGAAAAAACATTTTAAAATTGTTGACATATCAATGTTCCCAATCGTTGTTTAAGCGTGTGTTTTCTTTTCTGTAATAAAAAAATATATATGCGAATTCGAGTGTTTTTTAAATGCTTATTACAACGTATGCATCGACAAAATCTATAGTTTTTGTACCGAAATCAACGTTTAGAGATATATAGAACATGAAATTGAAAAGAATTTTAGGTCTTTCATTCAGTTTTCGCGGTTTTTAATTATTTATTCAAAATCAATGCAACAAGTTCTTTGATCGTTTTGATCGTTTAATATTGCCTACCTTGTCTTCATTTTACCATGTTCCATTGTATGTAATTATTGTTTTGAACAATGGTTGCTTAAAGGTGAGAGTACATAAACAGCTTCAAGTCTTTGCATGGCATATTTTGTGACATATCATAAAGGGATGCAAGAGCCGCACTCAGATTCTGCCGTTGTTTCCCTTCATAATTTGACATTAATGTGCCGAACCATGTTGCCAAGCGGCTTATGTACCCTCACCTTAAGTCCGAAGTATTCCACCATATACGAAACAAAAATTTAAAATTATAGGAAGATCTCTGATCTCAGCAGCACCTATTTGTTGTAGAATGGTCATAACTTCATTATTATTTTTTTGATTTCTTTGATGTGTGTTAACGGTTTGGTTATATAGCCAAATAGAATAGAGTCTACCAGGTATGGAACGAATGTATATAGCTAAATATCAGAAATGTTTTTTCAGTCTAATATTTAAGCCTTCTAAAAATCATAAAGCAAAACGACCACATACGATCTTCTTTCTTCATTTTTATTAATATGCCTATAATTCTCATCATATTGACTTTTTATATAGAATTATAATTCTTAAATACTTACTTTTCGGCGTTTAAATCATGATTTTTACATCAGTTTTATTAAAAAAATATTAATTTCTAAAATGTTGACATATCGGCATTTTCCAGTAATTGTATTAAAATGGTTAAAACTTCGAAAAAATGTATTTTTTGACAAGAATTATTGACTTTCCGTCCCCTGATACCAAAAGTCGATTGTGGGTTTTTCTCACTCACACTATTGCTGTTGTAAAATAACGACTTTGGAATCCCCCTAATATTCCTGGGTTGTTAAATGTCGACGTAGGAAGCCCTATTCCCAAGTATTTGTTTTCTTTTAATATCTCACATTTATAACAATTTTATCCAATTTTGCTGCTCCTGAGTAAAGCTGTTAATGTACCTTAAGAAGTAACCAAAACTTGTATCAATACTTATCATGTGTGTGGTCATCAATTTGGACGTTGTATGCCTGGTGTGTTTGCATCATTCTGCCGAAATGCATAGCATTTTTGGGACGACGGGGTCGTCGGATGAAAACGACCCAACGATAGCCCAAAAGATATCCACATTGTCAAAACTGAAAGTGGATTCCAAGAATGAACATTTGCCAGAAAAACTATGTGATGGTTGTCTAAAGGATTTGAATGCTGCCTGGAGGTTTCATAAGAATTGTCAAACTGCTGTGGCTGTCTTTCAGAGTATTCTAAAACCAATTTTGCAGTTGCAAGAACAACCCAAAGAGGGTAGGTTGCCAGATAAGCAGGATGCAGAAGAAAATTGTAATGAGCCCACCTCAAGCGGACAACAATCACAAGAAATGACAATTAAGGACATTTTTGAAGAGGAAGAACCATCACAACATCAGCTAACAGCAGTGGTTGAGGCAAACGAAGAAAATGCCATTCTTGAATCTATGGCTGTGGATGCCGACGACTTAAAGTCTGTCAAGGATGTTTCTAGCAATAGTTTTGGGGAATTGAAAAGGTGTATTTTGGAAGAAGAAAACGAAGATTGTCAATCTGTGGATGAAACTCAAGGCCTTGTAGAGTACTATTTAACAGATGAAAATGTTAATGAAAACAACGAAGAGAAAATCAGCAAAGAACAGCCCTCCCACAGTTTGAGAAATAAAAAAGATGTTTCAACAATAGCATCTAAAAGAGTGGTTTTCAACTCTGTGAGGGAGGAAACAAAATCAATGCCTTCAACCACAACAACAACCAGAAGAATGACTCATCAAACACTGAACAAAAATCACCAGGAAAGGAAATCAGAAGGACCAGAAGCTGTTAAATGTACAAAACCTGTTAGGAGGCGACAGAATCAACAAGTCCCGTCGAAGGAGTCACAACAACAGAACTCCAACCAGCAGATTGATTCCGAAGACAATGCCAACCAAAATCTAAGCAATGATGAATCGGAACCAAAGTCGCGTAAACGTAAGATGACCTCAGCGGGTACAAAGGCTCCAAAAATATGTGAAATATGCGGTAACTCGTATCGCTTTCAACATGCTCTCAATGCCCATATGCGACGCCATTACGATGATAAACCTTTCCCATGTGAAATGTGTTCCAAGGCATTCGTTTCCAATGTGGAACTGCGTCGCCATATGCGAGTACACACAGGACAAAAACCCTATGCCTGCCAGTATTGTGATCGTCGTTTTTCCGATTATGGATCGCGCATTAAGCACGAACGCACACATACCGGCGAAAGACCATACGTTTGCACAACATGCGGCAAATCATTTGCTTATCCACATGTTTTGTCCGTACATCTGAGAACGCACACCGGCGAAAAGAAATTCAAATGTAGCTATTGTCCAAAAGGATTTACCAAAAAGGCATATCTGTTGACCCATATGGATACGTATCATAGTAACAATGTTGGAGATGTGACAACATATGAATTGACGCTGGAGGACGATGATGGGGATACGGTTGAAACGGATAATGAACAATTAGCTGATGCCATTTTTACACCTGATTTCATTAATGATGAACATGAGCAGGAAAGTGGCCAGATTCAAAAAAGTGAAGAAGAAATTGAAACCGGCGATGATGATGAGAATAACCGAAGCGACCAAATGACAGTACCAAAATCACTTTTACGTCTTAAAGCCGAGACCGAAGGCGAAGATGATACAGATGTACAGGAAGTAGAAATCCATTTGGATGAATACACCATAAGAGTACGTTAAGTTATGAAAAAATTTGTTCAATTTAAATATAATTGATATTTTTCTTAGTGTAAATAAACTATTGGTATGTTAAATCGAGTTGCAGCCTCGTTCATTCGGGGAATTTTTAGTAGTAGAAAAGTAGCATTAAAATAGAGAAGAATATACTGGGTGAGATAAAAAAAAACTGCAACAAAATCAAACGACATAATTTTTACATTCCTTTTTTTATTGTCAGAAATAGCATCGAATTTTAGAATAAGTTTAGATTTGTTCGAATTGATCACCTTTGGCACGAATTATGACCTTCAAATGGCCAATGAAGCCGTCACACGCTGCCCGAATGTAGCTCTGCGGTATTTTGGCCCATTCCCGGTGAAGCATTTGCTTGAGGTGATCGACGCTTTGGTGTTTTTAGTGCCAATCTTGCTTTCCAAAATACTCCAAACACAATAGTCCAACGGATTGGTATCCGGAGATTTTGGCATTGACATTGTGCGCTGGAAATGAAGCGAGGAACCTCATTTTGTAACTATTCTTGGGTGGCGCGTGCTGAGTGCGATGTTGCTGAGTCCTGTTGGAATCCAAGGTCTGCGGCCAAAATGTTTGCGTGCCCATAACTTTAAACACCCTCCAGAATATTTTCGCGATAATATTCGGCATTTATTCTGATGCCACAGTCGATTAATACGAGCGGAGAGCAACCATCGGCTGTTATGGCAGCCCACACCATCACCATTGCCGGCGCTTGAGTTATGGTGGCCAACCGAAGGTGCACATTTTCAGCTGACCTCTTTGTGAAGTAAACACGATCATTTTGTTTATTAACAAACTGCTGGACAACGAATGTTTTCTCATCGGAGAAAACCAAATTCGGCAGTTCACCACTTTCGGCCAGGCAAAGCAACTCTTTAGCTCTTTTTTTCTTTCTTTCATCTCACCCTGTACACATGCCGTTTGCAATTCAATAATTCTATGACGACACGAAAGTGATTGGGGAGCGAAAACATAATTCCAAATCAGTTTTAAAAATTTTTATTTTTGATGATAGTTCGGCTGAAGGTCAGTAAAACAATTTTATTTAGTTATCTCCTTTTTCCTCTTTATTATATCCAATATTTCGATTGTCATCGACAATCATCTTCAGGGATATTAACTTTGTTTTAGAGGAAAACGTCTGCTCTAATTTGACGTCAAATTATTTTTATAATTAATTCAAAAATTTAATAAACATATTTGGAATGGTGTTTTTTGTTCGCAGTCGCATCGTCACAGAAAAACATTCCCTTATTCACTTTAAGTTGCATAAATATAATTTAAACGACAGAAACAGTTACTTCCCTTTTTTGATGTAAAATTTTATTTACAAAATTCAAATGCTTAAGCTAAAAAAAATTTTAATTCTATACGATACGAAAACATTACCTAATGTTCTACTTTGCTGCTTGTTGAGCCGCTTTCTTCTCGGCCATACGTTTGTCACGCAGCATTTGATAGGAGACACCAGGTTCCTTGTGAGAACTGCGTGGGAAACGTTTAACTTTCGGTTTCTTTTGTTTACCAGTCGCAACACTGACGGGCAGGATATTACGTTTCTGGAAGTTCTTGAAACGATCGATTAAGAGGCTGGTACCCGTTTGAATATTTCGTAAATTGCCAGCCAATTCATCAGGCATATTAACATCCTGATCTGGTTCGTTGAACTTCAATCGTCCCAAACGCTTTGTTTCGAATTTCTTTTTGAATTCGGCCTTTTTACGGCGTTTCATTGCCTCATTTAATTCTTCCTCTTCGGCCAGGACTTCGGATTTAATTGATTTGATACGATTCAAATCGGCTATTTGTTTCTTTAAGGCCTTCTTTGCTTCCAGTTTCTTTTGTAGCTCCTTTTGACGAAGTTCTCTATTGCGTGCAGCTTTGCTCTTCTTTTTGTTTTCAACTGGCGGATTGACCGTACTGTATGCTGCTGAATCATCGGCATTTTCTTCTCCTCCCTTCTTTCCAGATTTCTTATCTTTATTGCCTTCCTCATTTTCATTATCATCATCGTCGTCGTCTTCGTCATCATCATCATCCATGCCTGCACTCATCTCCTTTAAGTGTTGCGTTTGCCTTTCTTCAGCTGTAACCTTACGGAACATTTGTGTTGTAACCCGTTTTAAATGTTTTTCTTCCTTAATGATTTTTTCTTCTTTTTCAACAATATCCGAAATAAGTTTTTGATGATCTTGTAAGGATGGATTGTAGCTGGTGCCTGGATGAGGTGGTTCAAATTTCCTGAAAAGAAAACATAATATTAGTATATGGGTGTTAAGTCAAGTAATATTTGAGCACGATTTCTGGGTAGAATTTCCCCTACAAATTTCATGTTCAAGGTCATATTTCTATAAGGTACTGTGAAATATTAATTTCCTGAGATATGTAAAACCATTCAAATACAGGCAAATTCACCATTGCAGATATTATTTATAAATCAAGTATTTTCAAGGCAAACTTCTGGTACGTGGTAATGAATAAATATAGTATAATATTAATTTGTCTGGCCTTATATTAAAGCTTGATTTCATAAACGTGTCATGAGCAGAGTGGTAGCAAAAGTTCAAAAATTTATGTTATAATTTTGTTATGAAATATTAAATGCCAATCTTTGTTACCCATTATAATTTAAAGAATCTCAAATATTCACCCTCCTTCAGGCTTTCCTTGGTAATTTATGGTTTTAACATTAAATATATGGTGTTTAGTTACTATTCAGATTCAGCAAAAAAACGACCTATATATCCGTTTGGCCCTGACACATTATTATCCTATTAAAATCATTTTGTTATATGTAATACTTACTTGGCTTTGGTAGTTTTATGTCTTATGCTGTCATGGATTTTATATACTGGCAGACCCAATTTCTGTGCATGGTATTTGGCCAACTCTTCCGAAATCCATCCCTTTTCATCCTTAAGACCAGGAACTTTTTCACGAAAATCTTCTTCCATCCAAATATCTTTGTTGGTATCTGGTATTTTGCTAGCTAATTTCTTAAGTTTTTTCTCCACTTTTTCATAGGTCTTTGCTCGATCTTGATTTGCTTGTATATGACGGGGTTTGCTGGGATTAATGACTTCTTCCTCGATATTGCGACCAGCTTTCTTTTGTTTTACAATATTCCTAAAGTGATATAAATGTTTTAACGATTTCTTCACGAAATTATTTCCCAAAACATTACCTCTTAACAATGGGATCCTGTACCTTGGAAGTGTTCTCCAGTGCCTGCAGTGAACGCAAGGGCTTTTTGGCATTTAATTTCCTTTTTTGTTTCTCAGTTAATACTGATGGTTTCTTAACATCTGTGGGGGTTACATCAATTTTGAACAACTCCTCATCTTTCTTTTCTGTAAATGATCTGTGTGTGGTTGGGACAAGCAAAGAAATTGGTAGTTAAGTTTTTTGTTTTTTTTTTTGGAGCAAGTTGAGTTTAGGGGCTATGCTCGGATCATTTTGAAATTTTTACCGCAGGTAGGTATTTGTAACCTGATTACGGCAATGTAATTTTTTTGTGGGGGAAATACCCGGTTACCCGGTTATTCGACCCAAAAGTTCGAATATAACATCCGGTTTGTATCCGGTTCTACGTAACCGATATCAATAAAATGGGTATCATTTGAAAGCTTATGAAAATACCTATCCAACAAGTGGTCATATGACGGGGTTGCTGGAACCGGTTTCGGAGAAATTTAGGAAAATTTGCATTTTTGTATGAGTACTTTTTGAAAAACCTATAAAAACTCGAAAACGGACCCATTATAGGGTCTTAAAATCTATACACTATATTATAGCTAACACTATTGCCTTTCCAAAATGGTGTCATATGTGTTGATATCTTTTGTGGTTCCGTGGATATAAGAGATAGAATTCATTAAATTATATTTTTCTCCAGTCTAGATGCATTTGACTTTGACCTTTATAGCTTTTTTAAGCAACCGGCCTTCGGCCGGGGCTTAAGATTTTCTCCTCTGGGGTATGTCCAACACCGGCTACGCGATCCATAGTTTTTCTAAAAATTGTACATTTTGTAAGTAGCCGGCCTTCGGCCGGGGCTTAAGATTTTCTCCTCTAGGGTATGTCCAACACCGGCTACGCGATCCATAGTTTTTCTAAAAATTGTAATTTTTGTAAGTAGCCGGCCTTCGGCCGGGGCTTAAGATTTTCTCCTCTAGGGTATGTCCAACACCAGCTACGCGATCCATAGTTTTTCTAAAAATTGTAATTTTTGTAAGTAGCCGGCCTTCGGCCGGGGCTTAAGATTTTCTCCTCTGGGGTATGTCCAACACCGGCTACGCGATCAATAGTTTCCTAAAAACTGTAGTTTTCGAAAGTAGCCGGCCTTCGGCCGGGGCTTAAGATTTTCTCCTCTGGGGTATGTCCAACACCGGCTACGCGATCCATAGTTTTTCTAAAAATTGTAATTTTTGTAAGTAGCCGGCCTTCGGCCGGGGCTTAAGATTTTCTCCTCTGGGATATGTCCAACACCGACTACGCGATCCATAATATTCTAACAACACCAAATTAAAAACAAAGCAGATTAACAAGAACGTTAAACCCGACACAAAACTTGGGTTCACTCAAACTGCTTTCATAAGTAACGACTTTAAAAGTCAATATCTTCGGAACTACAAAAGATATCAACACACATGACACCATTTTGGAAAGGCAATAGTGTTAGCTATAATATTGTGTATAGATTTTAAGACCCTATAATGGGTCCATTTTCGAGTTTTTATGGGTTTTTCAAAAATTACTCATACAAAAATGCACATTTTCCTAAATTTCTCCGAAACAGGTTCCAATTACCCCGTCATATGACCACTTGTTGGATAGATATTTTCATAAGCTTTCAAATGATACCCATATTATTGATATCGGTTACGTAGAACCGGATATAAACCGGATGTTGTATCCGAACTTTTGGGTCGAATAACCGGGTAACCGGGTATTTCCCCCACAAAAAAATTATATTGCCGTAATCAGGTTACAAATACCTACCTGCGGTAAAAATTTCAGGTCAATCCAAGCATAGCCCCTAAACTCAACTTATGCCTTTTTTTTTTTTGCAGATTAATCGGCCAATATATTTACCCAATTCTTTCCTCCTGTCTTTGTTCTTCCAGATATTCCTCAACATCTTGGATATCAGTTTTCCTCCAAGCTGATTTATTTTTCTTTGATATACGTTTTTTCTTTTGCACCGACATATTTTTCCTGCTGAAAGTGTATTTACTTTGAACTGAAATACCACATCTACAATGCACGTGTTGACGGCATTAAAAGTTGTGAAGTGTTACTTAAATTATTGCGTACAACAACTGTCAAAGAAATGCTGGTTAGCATTTGTTTCACAAATAGCTGCCAGACATTTATTTTAAAGATTTTTAATTAGGATTTTAGTTTTTCCTGTTGGCGATTAACATTTTAAAGGAGAAAAATTAAGAGAGACAGTTACGGAGAGTAAAACGTCTTCATTCATCTCCTGTACCAAGATCCATTTAAGGTCGGCCATGACTACTACGTTTGATAATGAGTTGGCAATAATCTTTGTAATTTGTGTTTGAATATCTTTGAATTTCAAATCACAAATATGTCTTTTAAAAGTAAACTCAGTGTCAGATGGACTTACTGGCCGTTCTTGTATTGGCAATGTTCTATATAAATAATAAAATAGAAATTCTCCCTAATGGAGCCATTTTCTACTTGGGTAGAAAAGGTATTCTTGAGTACCTGATTAATCCTAATAATTGGCCTTGGCACAACGAGAAGCTACCATTGTGATTGAAATACTCTCATACTGTCAAAATATTCTCAACCTTTGTTCTTTCAATTTATAATTGCATGTATTTTGACAATACGAAGAAGATCAGCTGGCTCGTGCGTTTCGTAATAACAAACGACTGTTGTTAACTATAGCCATGTTCACCTGTTTTGCTTTAATAATTGACGCCGTTGATAACAGCAGCAGCGGCGAACGTCAACGATTTGAATTAAGCGACTTCATAGTCTGCAGCTTTCTTCACTTTCTTTGGTTCTTGGGCCAAAAACCAAAAAATTCCAATCTCTTTTAACATCGCCCGACCACAGTATCCTCCTCACAGTTCTCTCTCTGTTGTCAACCAAATGTTAATTTTCGTTTAATTGTTTAAAACAAATCATTAGTAGTGAAGAAGAGCTGTGAGCAGCAACAAGTTGATTCGTTCGTTCCGTCTAAGCCAGCTAGTCAAACTGCCGGTCAATGAGTTCGGGTTCTAAGTGAAATCCAACAAAGCGAACGATAAACGTGGCAGACCATCATCATAAATGGTCTTAATGATTTATACCTGTTGTTGAAGTTGATGTTTGTGTGACGATTAAGCGAAGAAAGACGTACCATGTTACCTCCACGTTACCACCGCCACCTGCTGTTGAGCCTGGTGTTTATGCTAGCTTTGCCTTCCGTGTGTTTGGGTCTCCTCGAAGGTCTATATTGTGGAAAACAAAATTGTTATGATGTTCTGGGTGTTACACGAGAATCCTCCAAGTCGGAAATTGGAAAGGCATATCGCGTCTTAGCTCGCAAGCATCATCCGGATTTGCATCGCACAGAGGAAGCCAAGAAAGAAGCTGAGAAACAATTCAAAGCCATTGCCACTGCCTATGAAATTCTAAAAGATGACGACTCTCGCACAGATTACGATTATATGTTGGACAATCCCGATGAATACTATGCCCATTACTATCGCTACTATCGTCGCAGAGTGGCTCCCAAGGTGGATGTGAGAATTGTTATTATTGTCACATTGACAATTATTTCGGTTATACAATACTACTCCGGCTGGCAGCGTTATGACTCGGCCATCAAATATTTTGCCACAGTGCCCAAGTATCGCAACAAAGCCTTGGAAATTGCCAAAGATGAAATCAATGAGAAGGTTCACAATCGAAAGGGCAAGAATCGTCTTTCCAAGGCCGATCAAAAAGAGGAAATAGAAAAAATCATAATTAAAGTTATCGAGGAGAAAATGGATGTTAAAGGTGGTTGTGCCAAGCCAACAGTATGGGATGTCCTGTGGGTGCAAATAATTATATTCCCCTATACCCTGGCCAAGTGGCTATGGTGGAACATTATGTGGACATGGAAATTTACCATTTGCAAGAAACCCTATGGCAGAGAAGAGAAATTGTATTTGATACGACGAAACATGAAAATGGGCCAACATCAATTCAACTCTCAAGAGGATAAACAAATTGAGGAGTTCTTACGTCTGGAACTTTGGATAAAGGAGAATTTCGAAGAATGGCGCATCCAAGAAGAGGAAGAACTGAAAAAGAAAATGGCCGAGAATCCACGTTATAAATCATATCGAAGATATATGAAAAATCATGGTCCAGGACGTATGACTTTCGAAGACTAAACTTAAAACAAAAAAATGAAACAACAACTAGGCTTTATTGTTAAGAAAGATACATAGGTGACTATATATTTATATTAAGTATGTAATTTGATGCGTTTCGTAAATGAATGTTTGCTTTAATTTAATTTTGTTTAATTGTAAGTCCTGTGTTTTCCTCCTCCTAAGTTTTTTTTATTAAAATAGTTTAGTAACATTTTTTATACGAAAAAAAGTTGTTTTATTTTGGATTGAAGAATGAACATGTCGTTCGAATTATGAAAGGAAATATGGTCCATAATTGGGATAATGAACATATCTCTTAGACCTGCCTTTTGAATAAAAGTCGAAAACATCGAGGGGTATCAAAAAATTTAGATTTTAAACAAATGAAGAGCATGTGAAGAAAACACCATTCCAAATGTGTTTTTTAAATTTCGCATTTTTCCATAAAAAAAAAAAAAAAAAAACAAAAATAGGAAGAATGTGTTTGGAAAGGTGTTTTTAGTTTGCATTGACTTTCGTATTGTCATAGCGGAAATGCCCTAAAATTAGTTCAACAATTTATTCTTTTAAAAAATTCATATAAAATTGTTGAAATAAATAATAACAGATTCCAAGTTTTCCAAACGTTACAAGACGGTATGAATGTAACGCTGTAGATGACCTCCATAAGTTTTATTCTACAGATATTATTACTGCCTTTTTGCGCTCTTTTCACGCAAAAGCAAAGAAAAATCGCAGATTTTAACCCCAAACAAGTTAGCTATTATTTCTCTTTTAGTCTACATGCCGTCTATTCGATTTTGTAATACTTTAAAGATTATTGACCTTTTTTGAATATTTGGGTAAAATGATTAAGATAAATTTTGCCAAGCAACACGTTTCTTGCCAACATACTCTGTCCAAGTCGTTTTAAATAGAACCGGTTTCCATTTAGGTGCCTTTTTCTTTAAAACCAACTGTGTCTATTGAAGATGTTTTTTATGCTTTTGTGAATCGTCATTAATTAGGGAATCAAAATATTGTTGATTCATTTTCCAAAGTTTTGTTTGCTCAAGTGTTCTATGATTGTGTGAGTCTGTTTTTTCGGAAACTACAATATTTTTCTGAATATTTGTTTAGCTGTTATTTAGTGACTTGTGTCTTCCTACGTCAAATATTGACCTTTTTAAAAAAGTAAGGAAAATATTGAAATTTTATCTTTATACCAACTGTGCTCTATTTAGTTGGTTGGGCAGCATAACTGCGGCATTGATAATTAATTTGATTGAAAATATTTGAACAGTTTTGTTTTGAAAACGCGGTATTCCATGATGTATATTTCATTCTATGACGTTTTAAAAATCCAGTTATATTTACTTCCGATAAAATATATGATAACCAAAGCATTAAATGTTGCGCCTAAAAGTATGCCAAGAATTTGTAACTTTCAATAAAACCTCCAACTTAAAATGCTGATAATTTTTCATTTTTTATTGCTTTATAGTTCATTTAAATTAACTACAATCAGAAAATTATATACTTGTATTTTAACTATACTTAATGTAAAATGTTATATGGCAAAATAAAACATTTGCAGACATTAATTTCTAGTTGCCAGCATGTTTATCTTTCAGCATTTACATGTCAATTTTCTAATTTTTTTTATCAAAGAACATGAAAACCGGCCTTCAAGATAAGAAAATGCCAAATGGAGATTTTCAATTTTGATAACAGAACACAACGGCAAATGTTCAAAGTTGCGCAGCGCAATAAATTAAAAAACTGATATTTTCTAGGATTTTATGAGACTTCGTTTTTGTTATATACCTGCTCTTAATATCTATGTATGTGATGGCAAGTGTGTTTTTTTTTTTTCTTGAAAATGTTGTAAAAAACTAAATCAAGATGTTCTTTAGCCTAAATAAATCAAAAAAGGTGGGAGAATTCTTACATTTTTCCATTGCGAAATCATAAAAAAATATATATGGAACATTTTTAATACCCTGATTCGATTTGAATTTCATTAAAAAAAATATTATAAAAAAATCTTTGGTAAGACAGAATGAGAGCTACACTGAGACGAAGGAGACCAAGCCATGAACAAAACAATGATGAAACCAAATATTTTGAGTTATGGGGTTGAATTTCACAGATGCATACGTTGCCACAATTTACTCATACGGGTGTTGGTGTCAAATATACTGCGTACCAAGAACACTTGTAGCAAGCCCACAGCAATCATGGCACATATTTGGAACAATGACCAAGTATTTACTTTAATAAAATTCGATTCTGCCAAATTACGATCACGAGCTTCATGAGATCTTAACATATCCTGTATTTGCCTAGCTTTGGTCATTTGCATACGTATACGTCCAATATAATCCATAATATCCTGTACTTTCATTTCATAGAACTCTTCCGGTGTTAGACCTTCGAAAACATCATTCCACTGATCGTCTCCAAGATTTTGTTCTCCTTCCTTTTCCACAATTAACTCGAAAAATACCGTTTTCCTATTGAATGTACTGAACGTATTATCGAAGCAGAAACGATAATCACCTTCCTTCTGGACATCGTGTCGATGTATATTCTCCGGCTTTTTGAAATCACTAACAATTATCAGTCCAATGGGATCGGCTAGCGAAAAACTAATATCCAAATCACCATGTCCACCATCGATTACCTGATACTCAATATCTATTGTTTCACCGGCTTTCACAGGATGGAAATAGCATTCTTTCTTTCCCGCATCAATGTGAACAGTCATTTCTTTGTCGTATGATTCAACCATCGCTGCCAGCAGCACAACAATGAGAGCACTGCAAAACGCCGTTCTTCTATGCGATATTCTTCCATCCTACAATGATATAAAGTGCTTTTTATTTATAAAATTAATCAAGTTTAAATGTAAGTTACCATTTTTTGTGTGTGAAAAATAAAGCGGGTGAAGGGTGGAAATGAATTGTCAAAGTTATGATTTGAGAGTGCCTCTTTGTTTAGCACGCATCAGTTGTTGTACAAGTAATTAGGTTCAAACTTTAAAGAAAACGTGTGTCCCGATGGCGTTTTACTGATAAAAACAGCTGTTTAATAATTACTACAGTCCGACCTCAAAAGTTTCAATTGAACAATATTTTCTATGCGTTTTTAAGGTATTTTAAAATCTACGGAAAGTAGCGTTTAAAAAAGCTTATGTTTTCGTGCAAGAGCCTCTGTTATTATTATTTTATAAAATGTATAGTAAGAACTTTGTGATAGGAATGTTGGAGAAAATAACTGTTGAAAAAAATGAACTGTTGAAATTCGATTTTTCAATAAAATGAACTGTTGAAATTCGATTTTCCAGTCAAAGTGAAGCTAGAAGCAAGAAGGAGGTAGAACAGCTTCGTAAAACTACAGAAATACAGCCCTAAGGCTATGCCCGCTTCCTTTCAGAATTATTCAAAATTACAGGCAACAAGTTGTTTTGATTTATTTGATATATATTTATTTCATTACTAAATTGAGTCAAATAGCCTAAAAAGATGATGTTCTCTCGAAAATATGATCCTAGATGTTCAATTCCATGGCAAATCTGGTTAATATTATTAATGCCTGCCCCGCAATTTAACCTTCTTCCAATCATTGATTTTGAAACTATTTTTTGTATTTTTCAAAACAAAAAATACATTCACAAAATTGGCAGAATTCGGGCAAACTTAGAAAATAATTGTAATCAGCTGGGAGCTCTACCTAACCTTTTTATTGTACCATGGTAGAAGCCATGGTAAAATTAAGAAGGTAAAGTCATTTCAAATAAGTATATCCCTGCGTTTTCTGTAATTTACCTAGTCAAAATTTTACTGAATAAAAAAGAGGTTCCCATCTCTGATTTGTGTACAATGGATTTATGAATATACAATTTGACAATGAGATGTCGTCAAACGAATAATTTTGAACAAATTGTAAACATATGATTGCTTGACTTTACCTTCTTAATTCTACCATGGATGGGATATGGGAACCTGTTTTCTATGCATTAAAATTTGACAAAGTGGAATGCAACGTTGGGCCTCAATTTTTGTTCTGGAAAGACACATTTAAACTGAGCATATCTCTTATCATTGATAAAAAAGTAGCATTTGAAAAATTCCAATTTTTTCGTATCATAAAGGGGAAATCAGTAATCGTAGTAAAAAATGTACATTCTTATAGCTCTGGAACAGATCAAATGTAGTCAGACAAATAAATTGTTTTCCATTATTACAAGTTTCATTTAAATAGGAACTCTTCGATAAGGAAAAGGTCAGGCTATCTTCCCTTTATCTTTTATTGTAAAGTTTACTGAATTCATGTTTACTATATTTTATATTGATAATATGACAATAACACTAAAATGTATTCAAACGCTCGAAAATGTTTTTTCTAAACTAAGGATTAACAAAACCGGACTATAAAGTAAATATATGAAAACGGGCCTATGATTGTTTTTACATCACCAAGATTTATTTACTGGTGCAAAATATCTGCATCTAATTCCTGTCGTTCCATTCAGTGAATACTGTATTTTGAACTCTTAATCTTCTAGCTTTTGGTCTTTGTTTTGATTACACATTTTTATTGCTGTGTCTTCCCTCAATTTTTCCGTTTCAGACATGCCATGTCGCGGTAATATTCCTTGTACCTAGTTCGTTGTGTGTTGGAAGTCTGTGTTTTATTAAATTAAAACAGAAATTAATGAAAAAATGGAAAATCCCTATTACACTCTACTAACGAATATAACTAGACATTTTGTTAATTTCCCCGAAAACAACGAGGCAAGGGAAAAATGTCATTGCGCCTCTACTTTGATCAGAATTCACAATGAAAAACTGGCGGTTAACGGCGACATAAGTTTTCCCTTGAAGCCGGACATTTGGAAAAAATATTTTCAAATTACAAAGGGATTCAAAGTAAAAGAGGAAGAAATCAATGCGCTCAATGATCCCCAACAGCAGGATGTACGAAATGAGTTCATAAATAAAGCCCAATCGTGGTCGTTCCCTATTGCCAAATTAGATATAGGACAAGAAAGATGTCACTTGCACCTGCAAAGACCTGCCATAATAAGGTTACTGATTCAAAAGGTTTTGAGTGATGCTTGCTATGGTACGTTACGAAAAAGTGATAGCCGTCTTGTTAAACTGTTACCATTACAAGAATATGGCTTGAGGAGAGAAGACCTTTCGTTTTACCGAGCAAAACTTATGTATGAAACCTTACAAAAACTACTCTCCTACTCCCGTTGGCTCATTGTGGATAAAGAAGAAACCCTCCCAAGTGAGGGAAATTCTGTATTGAAATTAAATATTCTCAGTGTTGCCTCTAAAGTAACAGCAGAATGCCGATTGAATGCCGATTCCAGTGTTAATATAAAGTGTGGACTAGTTACGGATCCCGCCACCAATGGGAAAATTTGCCAATTACCTACCCAGGAATATATAGGGTAAGTGTTAAGTAATGAGTAACTTTGTATTCAAATAAGTATAATGCTTTTTCCAATTTTTTTAGTTTGCGTTCAAATGACATGTGTCTGATGGCCTTGCACAAGTATGGAGTGCGTGTAAAGCAAGATGCTCGTTTTTGTGCCTTAATGGAACGTTTGGGTGTTGCCGCTGTAACCGTTGATTTACTTGAAGTTAAACACACAAGTCCTGTGCAGATAATACGCAATGGACAGGGTAGCACAAAGGGTGCTTCGTTTATCCTCTACAATTCCGCAAGGCTTGAGACATTACTGAGAACGTTTGAACAGAGAATTGAGCAAGGATTATATGAACCTATGCCGGAGATTAGTGATATCGATTGGAATTTACTTAATGAAGAGGTAAGTTTATTTCGTCGTTGGATTAATTGTCTCATTCTTCTATCTGGTGTCTACATGATAATATAGACAATATTGGGAATTTCATTGGGAATCTTTAAATATTGTTGTATAATTGGTAAGGTCTACCCTATCCAATTATTTGGTGAGAACAATTAATTCGAATCCAGTCAAAAGATTTGACCGACATAAAAAACATTGGTCACACCTAGAAGGTATACGACCGGATTCTTCATATTGTTAAAGCAAGATCCTAGGGATTACATTGTACAGCTTGTTTTCAGATTTTGAAAAACCAAACTATCAAAAAAAAAAAAAAAAAAAAACGAAATAAGTATCCAACCCTCTTCAAATTTCACACATCCAAATATTTTTGCTAACGCAGGATCTGTTGCGAAGATAATATATCTCCGACCCCTTCTGGCACCTAACCCACAAAAAGTCACAATTTTTATGTCATAATTTGCGAAACAAGTCGGTGATTCTTTAAAATTACTGAATCTAAATAATTCATTTAACCAGAAATCTGATATGAATATGTTATTCAACGAAATTTATGATTTCGCATAAAATTGGATATCAATGTTCGATTTCCTTCAAATTCAATCATTACCCTAAGCATTGCACCGGTATGAAATATCCCGCATTATTGGTCAAAATAATAACCTCCAGCAATTATGACTTCTTCCAAGACGAACTCCTTCATACTTGCGCAGCTAAGGTCTATCCATAGTCCTATTCTCAAATCCTTTACTTAAGGTGTTGTTCGCAGTACAGTTGTAATTACTTTAAAGATGCTGAGGGTTTTCAGATTTTCTTTTCAGTAACCTGAATAACCGTCAAAACTCTCAGCATTTTTCAAGCAATTGCAACTACGAATCTAGGTCCTACAGATTGAGATGCGAATTTTATATTATTTATCTAATTTCTAATCTATCTACCTTCTTTTACTTTCAGGAAGAATGGCAATTGGTATTTGCCTACTTGGCTGGTTTTCCTGATTTAATTGATCGTTGTCTGGAACAATTGGACCGTGGCATTTGTGCGACACATTTAATTATACGTTTTCTAAATGGTTTAGTTGCCATATTTAGTGTTTACTATAGAAGAATACGAATACTGACTGTAAGTTATGAAAATCTAAATTATTAAATATATCATTGTTTTTTTCCTCCTTTTTTGCAGGAAAAACGTGATCAACTAATGCCTTTTGTATATGCTAGGATATATCTTATTAAAGCTGTGAGAGAAATTCTTAATAAAACATTGGCTCTATTAGATATACAGCCGGTTGAATTTATGTAAATATTTAGATGCGATAAAGGCCTTAATTGTATGTCTTTTTACTGGCTGAAGTTATTGACTGTCTTCCTATTAAGAGAACATTTGGTGTTGGGTGGTCTAAGAATCATTTCGTCCTAAAATTAATGTATGTTCTCCCTACGCTGCTTTGTATCCGCTGTAAAACCTGATGAGAATACTTAGAAGGCTTATTTACAGTCTTTAAGTCATTGGCTGGCTTCAAACGAGAACTAAGTCAACCTAAAACTAAGTCAACGAAACTGAACTAAGTCAACCTAAAACTCCTTTGACTTAAGCCAGTAAAAAACCTTTAATTGCATCTGCACCTTTAAAGAATACCCGAATACCCAATACATTTATTTTTCTCAATTTGAAAGGATTCGCCCAATACGAAGGAAGGATTACTTTCGCTTCCAATTCAAAAAAAAAAAAAAAAAATTAGTTTGAAGAGTCAATTTTTATCAAATATGTAATATATTTAAGACTTTTTATTTATTTGTTGTGAAGTTGATATTCACAAACGCCAAGTTGTGGAATTTAATTAAGAAAATTTGAATTCTTTCCAATATGGTTTTAAATAATGAATTATACAAATTATAATCCGAACTTTATTTTAATTTCATAATGTAATTTATTTTTTTCTTTGTTATTTTCCATTTACAAACATATCACATAATACTTAATATATATAGAATATCGTATTTTTTTAAATACATTAGAAATCAAAAAAAGAACTATTACAAATGGAGACAATACAACATAATTACATTAAACAAATGCATTTATCCCTTTTTATTTCTATTCTATTTTGACGAAATATGTGACGAAGTAGTAAACTTATTTAATAAGTTCTATAGTTACTTATAAACTACTTAATGCTATATTTCGTTGTTTTTACTATTAACAGGGAAAATAATGTTTGGTTTTGTGATCTGTTGTTGCCACCTTATGACTAAACTAATGAATTTATTGTCAATATTTAATACTTTTGTTTTTCTTCCTTAGAGTTATTAAATAAATCTTTAGTGATTTGTTTAGCTTAAAAAGCTAAAAGATATTTCATAGTTTGTTATTTTATTTGAGCTTGATTAATTAATTCTTATTTCTCGTTTGAGTTTGGGCAGCTTTTCTTGAACTCTTTGATGGCCTAATGGGATATTTGGGAGGGGTGTTTAAAGTCTATATAAAAATAAGTGAAAAATCATCAGTCGGTATTGCCGACAGAAGTATACCCTCAGTAAATGTTCGTTTATTTAAAATTTATGCGAAATCATAAATTTCGATAAATTAGATAAATAGTTGTAGAAAATAGCCGATGTGTTTCGCATGTTATGACAGATAAAAGTATTGAAAAATGTGACCCCTTGTGATTGAGTTACCGGAAGAAGAAATATATCTTCTTCACCATAGATCTTGCGTTAGGAAAAATATTTGGATGTGTTAAATTTGAAGAGATTTGAATGCTTTTTACGGGTGCATTGATCGTTTTGTTTTTCAAAAATCTTGAACTCTATGTGGGGGAGGTACCAGAATAAATGGTCCGATCTCTATCATCTTTATAACAGATCTTGTGGTGATTGAAATATTGAGATGTGTCAAGTCTGAATGGAATCAGATGTTAATTTCGCGTGTTATGAGTTTCGTGGACTCTCAAAATTTTGCCCCATTGTGGGGGAGGTACCAGAAGGAGTGAATCGATATATCCCATTTTCACACCAGACCCTGGGTTAATAAAAATAGTTTGATGCGTGTAATTTGAAGAGGATCGCATGCTTAATTCTGATTTTATGATCGTTTTGTTTATTCAAAACATTGACCCTTTGTGAGGGAGGTACCAGAAGGAATGGTTCGATCTCTATCATCTTTAAAACAGATTTTGTGTTGATAGAAATATTGAGATGTACCAAGTCTGAATGGAATCGGATGTTAATTTCATGTTTTATGAGCTTCAAGGGTATTCAAAATTTTGACCCTTTGTGGGAGAAGTACCAGAATAAGTTGACCGATATATTTCATCTTAACGCCAGACCTTGGGTTAATAAAAATATTGGGATGTGTGAAATTTGAAGACAATCGGTTTCTTACATCGCATATTATGAGAGTTGTAATTATTCAAAATTTTGACCATTTGTAGGGCAGGTACTTGATGGAGTGGACCGATAGTGCACTGACGCAAACATTAGGATTTGCAAAGTTGGATTATTGTTTCTCTATCTGTGCAAAAAATATATTTTATGAAAATTTCGACCTTTTGTGGGGGAGGAACCAGAAGGAGTGGAGCGATATATTCCATCTTCACACCAGATCTTGGGTAAATAAATATATTGTGATGTGTGTAATTTGAAAACAATCGGATACTTTCATCACATTTTATAAGAGTTATATTTATTCAAAATTTTGTCGATTTTCCCACCTGACCTAGCACTGATGCAAATATTAGAATTTGCAAAGTTGATATTAGGATTTGCAAAATCGAATTATCCTTTCTCTCTTTCTGTGAAGTAAATTATTTTCTTTGAATACGTTGACATTTTGTGTGGGAGGTACCAGATGGAGTACACCGATATTGCCCAACTCCGAACTCGATCTAGGTTTGACAATAGTTTTACGATGTACTTAGTTTGGATCAAATCGGATGCTCCCTTCGTGAGATCTTGTGCGCACCATCCATCCAGACAGACGGATGGACGGGCGGACATCGCTATATCGACTCCAAATGTGCTGAAGCGGATTTGGTAAAAAGAGACCTAGGCTCTAAACCCGTTATTTCGATGAGGCACATTTTGGCCGTATCATATCTCAGCCATATGGCTGAGGGTATAATTAGATTGAAGAACTTTTCCTCAGCAGGGTTGTTAGCTTTATCTCCTTTCTCAAAACTTAATGAAGCTATTTTGAAGGTGCTATTTGAAATACATATAATTGGGTTGTTATTGAAATAAGCTATGGTCTTTAACGATGTCTGGGGCCTGCAATATTACAGTTTCTCCTTTCTAAAAAGTTATATTATTTTGTAATTGTTAACTATTAAAAAATGGAGACATTTTCCTCTAATTTTTTTTAAATTTAATTTTGTCGTGTTATATTGGTGAAGGTCCCGTCCTTGATTAGGCCATTTGGGTTCTAGAAAGCTTCAGATTTTAGAGATGATATTTATGGGATCTCTTATCTAAACATAATAAATTCATAATATTCTAAACAAAATATCCAATGCATTTAACGCGCTCTCTTTCTCGTCTCTTGTGTGCAATGTCTTTTTTGCAACAAAATGCAATTAGAAAACAATTTAATTATAGTGAACTTAACCGTTACAATGCAACAATTTTTTAATTACAATTAACAAAACTAATTAATTTAAATATAATTTCTATAAAAAAAATACCGCCCATTTTGTTTTCAGTTAAAATTATGCCCCCCATAGATTAGCTTAAAACTCTCTCTCTCTCTCGCACTCTCATCTCATTTCTTTTCGACGATTAAATTCTTTAATAAAATCTAAATTGTCCACATTGTCGAAGAACAAGTTCTCCATGAGTTTTGTGCTGCCCAGAGAATTGGCTTTGGTACCCAGACACATGTTGTATTGGGCCACCTCCAGATTGACATCACAGCTAATGTCATGATAGATATGGACCAAACTTGGATCGGGTGCCCGAAATATAGATAGACGCCTTAGCTGGGCAGCCTTGGCATTATAGTCCTCCGACACCTCTGCCGTATTGACCATAAACGAATTCTGTTGATGGCCGTTTTTAACAATTTTCTCCAAAAATTTCACATCTTCCAAACCCCAGCCGGTAATGTCCTTATCGAAACCATTTATACTTTCGTCCATAATGTCGGATTTGTAAATGGCACAAATTCCGAAACCAAATTGTCTAAAATATCCCGATTCATTTGTGATCTCCTCGGGAGATATGTATTCTTGATGCTGTCGCTTCGGATCGTATTGACTGAAGACAATCGGCAAATACACCTGGCTACCTTGTATGGTGTTCATGCGTATTCGCTGCAAGGTCTCCAATTTAAAGACCATATCGACATCGATAAAGAGTATGATATTATCATCCTGGATATAAGATGAACGGGCAGCTGTGTCCAGGGCCACACCACGAGAGAACTCCTCCTGGCGTTGTATATAATTGATTTGTTGATATATATTGCGACTTTTCAATTGTTTCAACAACTCCAGGTGGTCGTGCACCTCATCTTGGCTACCAAAGATCACCACAAGTAAATCACAATTTTTATCCTCCGTAATGGCCACCTGCTCATAGGTGTCCAAGAAACGTTTGAAGGTAGCCAAGCGGCCAGCAATGGGTAAAACAAAAACAATTCTGGACTTGGCTCCCACACCAGAGGTACGCGATGAAGGCAAGATGCCCGGCAATGAAAAGTGATTGGTTAGCTTCTCCACACCCTGATTCAAAATGTTTTTGAAAAAGCCTTAAAAAGAATGAGAAAAAAATTAGACACATCGAAAAAACCAACAAATGCTCCACTCACTCCTCTGCAATGTGGTGTTGTAGAAATCCTCCTCGAACTCCTTCACAAAAATGCCCGTAAAGGCCCTTTGCACATACAAATGTCGCCTCACCGGAACGGTCATCTTTTTGCCACGATATTTTTTATAAATCAATAACAAATCCAATATCAAATCTTGTCCATGCAGGGTGTTCAGTCGGGTGTAGCCATACAAAAGTTCCCGAAACTCAATGACCCGTCCCCTCTGTCGCGAATAGTTGTTGATATTTTCCATAACTTCGGTGATAACATCTTCAAGGCCTTCTCGCATTGCTGAGTCGATTTTATGCTTGGGATTGGAATGTTCTATCGAATAGAGGCCACGTGCAATAAATGACCATTCCAAAAGATCTTCTTTCGTCTTGGGTACATATTTATTTAGATCGGGACTTATGCCTGGAAAGAAAATAGGGGGAAATTATAAAAAAAATGGCTATTTGTATTTATTAAAAATTATTATAAAAAATTGGTGTTCTGTCTTCTGGGCGGCCGGAAGAATCCCCCTGACTTCGGGGCGGCCGGAAGAACCCCCCTGTCTTTTGGGCGGCCGAAAGAATTCCCCTGTCTTCTGGGCGGCCGGAAGAATCCCCCAGTCTTCTGGGCGGCCGGAAGAATCCCCCAGTCTTCTGGGCGGCCGGAAGAATCCCCCAGTCTTCTGGGCGGCCGGAAGAATCCCCCAGTCTTCTTGGCGGCCGGAAGAATCCCCCAGTCTTCTTGGCGGCCGGAAGAATCCCCCAGTCTTCTGGGCGGCCGGAAGAATCCCCCAGTCTTCTGGGCGGCCGGAAGAATCCCCCAGTCTTCTGGGCGGCCGGAAGAATCCCCCAGTCTTCTGGGCGGCCGGAAGAATCCCCCAGTCTTCTGGGCGGCCGGAAGAATCCCCCAGTCTTCTGGGCGGCCGGAAGAATCCCCCTGTCTTCTGGGCGGCAGGAAGAATCCCCCTGTCTTCTGGGCAGCCGGAAGAATCCCCGAGTCTTCTGGACGGCGGGAAGAATCCCCGAGTCTTCTGGACGGCCGGAAGAATCCCCGAGTCTTCTGGGTTGCCGGAAGAATCCCCCTGTCTTCTAGGCGGATAGAAGACACGACCTGTCTTCTGTCCTCTAGGCAGAGAGAAGACGCCGCCCGTCTTCTAGAGAAGACGCTGCCGGTCTTCTAGAGAAGACGCTGCCGGTCTTCTAGAGAAGACGCTGCCGGTCTTCTAGAGAAGACGCTGCCGGTCTTCTAGAGAAGACGCTGCCGGTCTTCTAGAGAAGACGCTGCCGGTCTTCTAGAGAAGACGCTGCCGGTCTTCTAGAGAAGACGCTGCCGGTCTTCTAGAGAAGACGCTGCCGGTCTTCTAGACAAGACGCTGCCGGTCTTCTAGAGAAGACGCTGCCGGCCTTCTAGAGAAGACGCTGCCGGCCTTCTAGAGAAGACGCTGCCGGCCTTCTAGAGAAGACGCTGCCCGTCTTCCAGAGAAGACGCCGCCCGTCTTCTAGAGAAGACTCCTCCAGTCTTCTATTCCCTGTCTTCTAGGCTGCTGGAAGACACACCCTGTCTTCTAGGGCGCTAGAAGACACCTCCTGTCTTCTAGGGAGCTAGAAAACACCTCCTGTCTTCTAGGCCGCTATAAGACACTCAGTTACAGTCTTCTATGCGTACAAAAGACGCTGCTAGAAGAAAACGGCTGTCTTGTAGGCAGGTCTTGTAGAAGACATATCCTGTCTTCTAGGCCGCAAGTAGACACATCCGTTCTTCTAGTCCGCTTGAAGACTCCTCAACCCGTCTTCTAGACGAAGAGAAGATGGCAGAAGACACTTCCTGTCTTCTAGGCGGGTATAAGATGACTATATGGGTAGAGGATGGATCAATTACAGTCTTCTATAGCGTACGAAAGATGCCACCAGTCTTCTATGTTTATGGAAGAAGCCAGAAGAAGAGGAGGAAATACACCTCCTTCTTAGTTAGAAGAAAATGGCAGTCTTCTAGGCGGATCAAAGACACCCACTGTCTTCTAGGCCGCCGGAAGACACTAAATGTCTTCTACGTCACTAGAAGACGCCAGCTGTCATTTAGGCGGCTTCTATATAGATAGAAGAAGCCACCAATCTTCTATGTATATAAAGCAGAGAAAAGACACCTCTTAATACAGAAGACAACTCCTGTCTTCTAGGCGGATAGAAGACACGACCTGTCTTCTAAGTGGATCGAAGATACCGCCTGTCCGTTAAAAGACACCATCAGTCTTCTAAACCGCTAGCTGGAAGACACCCACTGTCTTCTAGACCGGTAGCTCTGCGGACAGGCGCTGAGAAGGTACGATCTGTCTTCTTGGCGTAGAGAAGACACCTACTGTCTTCTAGGCGCAGAGGAGACACCTCCTATCTTCTAGGCGTAGAGGAGACACCACGGACAGACAGGCGGATCGAAGATACTGTCTTCTAGACCGCTGTCTGAAAGACACCCCCTGTCTTCTAGACCGCTAGCTTGAAGACAGGTGATGGTGTCTTCTAGCGGACAGGCACAGAGAAGGTACGATCTGTCTTCTAGGCGTAGAGAAGACACCTACTATCTTCTAGGGGTAGAGGAGACATCTCCTGTCTTCTAGGCGTACATAAGACCTGTCCTCTAGACGCAGAGAAGACTTGTTCTCCAGACGAAGAGAAGACGCGACTAATCTTCTAGGCGCAGAAAAGACGCGACCTGTCTTCTAGGGGCAGAGAAAACACCTAATGTCTTCTCATTAGACGCAGAGAAGACCTGTTTTCTAGGCGAAGAGAAGACGGGACCTGTCTTCTAGGGCAGATAAAACACCTAATGTCTTCTCACCACGTCACCAGTCTTCTATGCGGACAGAAGACGTCCCCAGTATTCTTCAATATAGAAGGCACCTCCTGTCTTCCAGACACAGAGAAGACGCAACCAATCTTCTAGGCGCAGAAAAGGCGCGACCTGTCCTCTAGGCAGAGAGAAGACGCCTCCCGTCTACTAGAGAAGACGCCTCCCGCCTTCTAGAGAAGACGCCTCCCGCCTTCTAGAGAAGACGCCTCCCGCCTTCTACACCCTGTCTTCTAGGCTACTGGAAGACACACCCTGTCTTCTAGGGCTCTAGAAGACACCTCCTGTCTTCTAGCCCGCTATAAGACACCTCCTTTCTTCTAGCCCGCTATAAGACACCTCCTGTCTTCTTGGCCGCTAGAAGACACTCAATTACAGTCTTCTATGCGTACAACAGACGCTGCTAGAAGAAAACGGCTGTCTTGTAGGCAGGTCTTGTAGAAGACATATCCTGTCTTCTAGGTCGCAAGTAGACACATCCGTTCTTCTAGGCCGCTAGAAGACTCCTCAACCCGTCTTCTAGACGAAGAGAAGATGGCAGAAGACACTTCCTGTCTTCTAGGCGGATATAAGATGTCTATATGGGTAGAGGATGGATCAATTTCAGTCTTCTATTGCGTACGAAAGACGCCACCAGTTTTCTATGTTTATAGAAGAAGCCAGAAGAAGCGGAGGAAATATACCTCCTTCTTAGTTAGAATAAATGGCAGTCTTCTAGGCGGATCAAAGACACCCACTGTCTTCTAGGCCGCCGGAAGACACTAAATGTCTTCTATGTCACTAGAAGACACCAGCTGTCATTTAGGCGACTCTTATATAGATAGAAGAAGCCACCAATCTTCTATGTATATAAGGCGGAGAAAAGACACCTCTTAATACAGAAGACAACTCCTGTCTTCTAGGCGGTTAGAAGACACCACCTGTCTTCGAAGATACCGCCTGTCCGCTAGATGACACCATCTATCTTCTAGACCGCTAGCTGGAAGACACCGCCGGTCTTCTACGCAGCTAGAAGACACCACGGCGGTGTCCAGAGAAGACTTGTTCTCCAGACGAAGAGAAGACGCGACTAATCTTCTAGGCGCAGAAAAGACGCGACTAATCTTCTAGGCGCAGAAAAGACGCGACCTGTCTTCTAGGGGCAGAGAAAACACCTAATGTCTTCTCACCACGTTACAAGTCTTCTATGCGGACAGAAGACGTCCCCAGTATTCTTCAATATAGACGCAGAGAAGACGCAACCAATCTTCTAGGCGCAGAAAAAGCGCGACCTGTCCTCTAGGCAGAGAGAAGACGTCTCCCGTCTTCTAGAGAAGACGCCTCCCGCCTTCAAGAGAAGACGCCTCCCGCCTTCAAGAGAAGACGCCTCCCGCCTTCTAGAGAAGACGCCTCCCGCCTTCTAGAGAAGACGCCTCCCGCCTTCTAGAGAAGACGCCTCCCGCCTTTTAGAGAAGACGCCTCCCGCCTTTTAGAGAAGACGCCTCCCGCCTTCTAGAGAAGACGCCTCCCGCCTTCTAGAGAAGACGCCTCCCGCCTTCTAGAGAAGACGCCTCCCGCCTTCTAGAGAAGACGCCTCCCGCCTTCTAGAGAAGACGCCTCCCGTCTTCTAGAGAAGACGCCTACCGTATTCTACACCCTGTCTTCTAGGCTGCTGGAAAACACACCCTATCTTCAAGGGCGCTTGAAGACACCTCCTGTCTTCCAGGGCGCTAGAAAAGACCTCCTGTCTTCTAGCCCGCTATAAGACACCTCCTGTCTTCTTGGCTGCTAGAAGACACTCAATTACAGTCTACTATGCGTACAACAGACGCTGCTAGAAGAAAACGGCTGTCTTGTAGGCGGGTCTTGTAGAAGACATATCCTGTCTTCTAGGCCGCAAGTAGACACATCCGTTCTTCTAGGCCGCTAGAAGACTCCTCAATCCGTCTTCTAGACAAAGAGAAGATGGTAGAAGACACTTCCTGTCTTCTAGGCGGATATAAGAAGGCGCGACCTGTCTTCAGAGAAGACACCTCCGGTGCAGAGAAGAGAGAAGTTACCTCCTGTCTTCTAGGCGCAGAGAAGACGCGACCTGTCTTCAGGGAAGTTACCTCCTGTCTTCTAGGCGCAGAGAAGACGCGACCTGTCTTCAGAGAAGTTACCTCCTGTCTTCTAGGCGCAGAGAAGACGCGACCTGTCTTCAGGGAAGTTACCTCCTGTCTTCTAGGCGCAAAGAAGACGCGGCCTGTCTTCTAGGCGCAGAGGAGACACCTCCTGTCTTCTTTGCGGCTGGAAGACTCTCCTAATCTTCTAGGCCGCCAGAAGATTCCCCCAGTCTTTTGGGCCGTCAGAAGAATCCCCCAGTCTTCTGGGCCGCCAGAAGAATCCCCCAGTCTTCTGAGCCGCCAGAAGAATCCCCCAGTCTTCTGGGCCGTCAGAAGAATCCCCCAGTCTTCTGGGCCGCCAGAAGAATCCCCCAGTCTTCTGGGCCGCCAGAAGAATCCCCCAGTCTTCTGGGCCGCCAGAAGAATCACACTGTCTTCTGGGCCGCCAGAAGAATCGCCCAGTCTTCTGGGCCGCCAGAAGAATCGCCCAGTCTTCTGGAACTCCAGAAGAATTTCCAAGTCTTCTGGGCCGCCAGAAGAATCGCCCAGTCTTCTGGGAGGCCAGAAGAATCGCCCAGTCTTCTGGGCTGCCAGAAGAATCGCCCAGTCTTCTGGGCTGCCAGAAGAATCCCCCAGTCTTCTGGGCTGCCAGAAGAATCCCCCAGTCTTCTGGGGCGCCAGAAGAATCCCCCAGTCTTCTGGGGCGCCAGAAGAATCCCCCAGTCTTCTGGGGCGCCAGAAGAATCCCCCAGTCTTCTGGGGCGCCAGAAGAATCCCCCAGTCTTCTGGGGCGCCAGAAGAATCCCCTAGTCTTCTGGGCTGCCAGAAGAATCCCCTAGTCTTCTGGGCTGCCAGAAGAATCCCCCAATCTTCTGGGCCGCCAGAAGAATCCCCTAGTCTTCTGGGCTGCCAGAAAAATCCCCCAGTCTTCTGGGCCGCCAGAAGATTCCACATAGAAGACGCCCCCAGTCTTCTATAAGGATAGTAGAAGCCTTCTTTCATATATATGATATGGTTAAATTGAAGACCTGTCATTTCCGATTACTTTCTCCTTTTGGAGGAAAATACAAAATATAGCGATCCACTTTGTCGTTGTTTACCGGTAACTTAGCGCTATTTTCCGTGTATTTTGGATTCATGTTGTTTTTTTTGGTTATCAATTCCGTGTTGCAAGTTTCGAACCTGAAATAAGTGTCAGTTTTATCTCCATTAAATGGGCCTCACAGCTGGAAGGCAATGATATGGTCATAAAGAGAAGTCGAGGGTTAGAAAAGTTAAAAATAGTGATAAAAATAGGAAAATATTTAAATAAAGATTTGGTTTTGGAATTTTTTTCATTTTATTACGAGAAACGGTCGAAGAAGTTTGGTTGAAAATAAAAAAATTGAAAAAAAAAAAGAGAAAAAAATGACCCACGATTCCAAAACGTTTTTAGTTATTGGCCTCATAGCGGCATTGGCTTGTACGGCCACCACCAAATCACATGGCATTTTGGATTACGATGAAGATTCCTATCATAGCGATGTGTTTGAGAGGCATACCCACATGGCCAGAAATATGCCTTCGGATTTGGCCCAAAATAAAATCACACCTCCGGCCGAAAAGGACTCACAATTTTGGATAAAAAATGCCCAAAGGGCCGTAAAGCAGAGGGCGGCTCTGCGCCTCAAGAACAAAAAGGCCAAGAATGTGATTTTCTTTTTGGGTGATGGCATGTCCGTGGGTACTCTGACGGCAGCACGTATACTCAAGGGTCAGCGCCAGGGTCGTACCGGGGAGGAATCGGTGTTGACCATGGAACAATTTCCCTTTGCGGGATTGAGTAAGGTAAGGAGGGCGGGAGATGTTTGACATTTGGAATATGTTTTTTTATTATTCTTCCTATTTTATAGACCTATTGTACAAATGGCCAGACAGCCGATTCAGCCTGTTCTGCTACAGCCTATTTGACCGGAGTCAAGACAAATCTCCTAATGATTGGCGTAAATGGCCATGTTACCTTCAACAATTGTTCGCTGAGCTCAAATCCCGAGTATCACACGGAATCTATTGCCCAATGGGCCCAGCGGGCGGGAAAATCAACGGGCATTGTTACCACAACCACAGTGACCCATGCCAGTCCTTCCGGAAATTATGCCCATGTGGCCAATCGCAATTGGGAAAGTGATTATGATATTGTCAAATCCAAGGCCTATACACATGGTGAGCCGTGTGCGGATATTGCCAAACAATTGGTGCAACAGGAACCGGGTAAGAACTTCGATGTCATAATGGGTGGTGGATTTAAGAAATTCATACCCCACACCCAGCATGATGTGTTTGGGGTGCAAGGTGAGCGTAGAGATGGGTTAAATCTGGTTGAAGAATGGTTGGGCCGTAATGCCCATGGCAAACTTGTCACGAATCTGAAAGAGCTGCAGGCGATCGATTGTCATGAAACCTCCAAGCTTTTGGGACTATTTCATTCATCTCACATGGAATACAATGCCAAGGCTCAAATGAACAAACCTCTGCAGCCGCGTCTGAAGGATATGACCGAAGCGGCCATAAAAATGTTGGAGAAAAACGATCAGGGCTATTATCTTTTCATTGAGGGTGGACGCATCGATCATGGTCATCATAATACCATTGCCGGTTATGCGTTGGATGAAACGTTGGAATTTGATGAGGCCATACGTCGAGCCTTGGAACTGACAAGTGAAGAGGAAACCCTAATTGTGGTAACAGCTGATCACTCCCACACCATGTCAATGTCGGGTTATCCTGGTCGCGGCAATCCCATATTGGGTTTAAATCAATATAATCGTGATCTGGAGGGTATACCGTATAGTGTGTTGAACTATGCTCTAGGGCCGCAGCAGTATCAGGATGAGAATGGCAAACGTTTGGATTTGTCGACACAAAAATATGATGACTGTAAGTGAACCCCCAACTCTGAGAAAGCCTTCATGTTTTCCTATTTTACCCAACCACTCTTTAGATTTGGTGAAGCCAAGCTATATCCACACAAAAATGGGTGCACATGCTGGCGAAGATGTTGCCATATTTGCCCGAGGACCACAAGCCCATTTATTTTCCGGTACAATGGAACAGAATGTCCTGCCACATTTGATGGCCTATGCCGCCTGCATTGGTCATGGAAAGCAATTTTGTCATGAATAAAATGTGTGTTTAACTATTCTAGTTCTAGTCCTTGAACTTGGATCTAATTTTTGGGGGGAAGGTCACTTTAAGTATTCTTGGTAAAGAGTGTTAAAAACCCATAGAATGGCGCCCAAGAAAAAAATCATTCAAGAATAAATTGTGTCTTACACGGAATTTATTGGGGAAATTGAATAGCCTGCCATTAAATATCATTAAAGGTGTGGCAAATTTAAATTGGTGGGGTTCGAGCCACAAAATTCGCTACAAAACATAGCCGTCAACAGAATGGCGCCCAACGGCAATTATTAAAGGATGCAAATGTAATAGAGACTTTCAGATTTCGATTATAGATGGAATCGTTATAGAGAGAGAGAGGGAGTATGAGGGAGAGGGAGAGGGAGGGAGGGAGAGTGAATTTGTCAAAAATGTAAAAGGATACAAAATAATAAACCTTTTTCTTGGGAAAATGTCATCACCTATGAAAACGATCCCACAAAGGCTCAGACAATAAAGATGACCTCATTTTTTGAAGAGTGGTGTTAAAGGGATTTTCAATAGAAAAATTTAAATGGAACCCAGTGATTAGAAGTTTTGAGGGGAAGATGCTTTGCCTTAGAGGGAAAAACTTGTTGGAAAACAGAGCTGCCAGCAGAATGGCGCCCAACGGCTATGATTTAAGAATAGATTTACAAATATGCAGACACTTTCAACTTGGAATTGTTTCGAGTTTAAATCGGGATTGAGAGAAAATGTAATTAGATACAGAGGGTTTATCATATCATTTGATACCATACCTCTGAAATGAGAGTGAGTTTAACTCTTCACTCTCGAATTCGAGCGTAAGCACTTCTGGATGTGGAAAAGAATCGAGCATACTCTCACTTCTGGTTGTCACTCGAATAAGAAAGTGCAGTTTTGGCCTTTTTCGAGTACCAACATAATATGAGAGTTTTGTTGCTTTTGTACTCTACCTAAATATAGATCGAGTTCTGAGATGGGTACTCTCGGTTTACTCCTTTCGGTAACTTTGCTAAAAAAGTTCACAATACAAACTCTAACAACCATCGTATCAGCAAACGTGGATTTTTTAAAAATATATATTTTTTCTAAGTATAACTTGACGTGAATTTTTTAAAAAATAGTTTTTCAAAGTATCACCATATGTGGATTTTTAAAAACATAGTTTTTCAAAGTACCACCAGACGTGGATTTTTTAAAAATAGTTTCAAAAGATGTGGATTTTTTAAAAAATAGTTTTTCAAAGCATCACCGGACGTGGATTTTTTAAAAATAGTTTTTCAAAGTATTTTTTCGAAGCATTAAAAGATGTGAATTTTTTAAAAAATAATTTTTTTGAAGTATGACCAGAGGTGAATTTTTTGAAAAATAGTTTTTCAAAGCATCACCAGATGTGGATTTTTTAAAAATAGTTTTTTAAATTATTTTTTCGAAGTATTAAAAGATGTGAATTTTTTAAAAAATAATTTTTTTGAAGTATCACCAGAGATGAATTTTTTTGAAAAATAGTTTTTCAAAGCATCACCAGACGTGGATTTTTTAAAAAAAAAATATTTTTTCAAAGTATCACCTAACGTTGATTTTTAAACAATATTTTTTCAAAGTATCAGCAGAAGTAGATTTAAAAAATAATTTTTGAAAGTATCAGCAGAAGTGAATTTAAAATAAATTTTTCTTCGAAATATCATTAAACGTGCATTTTTTAAAAAATAGTTTTTCGGAATATCAGAAGTCGTGGATTTTTTAAAAAATAGTTTTTCGGAATATCAGAAGTCGTGGATTTTTTAAAAAATAGTTTTTCGGAGTATCAGAAGTTGTGGATTTTTTAAAAAATAGTTTTTCGGAATATCAGAAGTCGTGGATTTTTTAAAAAATATTTTGTTAAAGTATAAGCGGACCTTGTGGTCTTCTTGAGAAGAAGACCTTTTGGCTTTCTTGAGAAGAAGACCTTGTGGCTTTCTTGAGAAGAAGACCTTGTGGTCTTCTTGAGAAGAAGACCTTGTGGTCTTCTTGAGAAGAAGACCTTTTGGTCTTTTTGAGAAGCAGACCTTGTGGTCTTTTTGAGAAGCAGACCTTGTGGTTTTCTTGAAAAGAAGACCTTGTGGTCTTCTTGAGAAGAAGACATTGTGGTTTTCTTGAGAAGAAGACATTGTGGTCTTCTTGAGAAGAAGTCCTTGTGTCTTCTTGAGAAGAAGACATTGTGGTCTTCTTGAGAAGAAGACCTTGTGGTCTTCTTTAAGAAAAAGTAGTCTTTGTGTTTTTCTTTCAGAAGAGGGCCTTGTGGTCTTCAATGTATATAGAAGACATATGATTCTTCTATATCTATAGAAGACACCTTCAGTCTTCTATTTATATGGAAGCCAGCCCTAGTCTTCTATATGGATAGAAGACAACCCTAATCGTTTATATGGATAGAACATGCCTTCAGTCTTCTAGAAGGAGACCTTGTGGTCTTATATGAGAAGAAGATCTTATGTTCTACGAGTACACCTTTTGTTTAGACTCAAAAGTTCTGGACCCGTTGACAATAATTCGGCCTCTTTTAAAGTCTGCTAAATATAGAAAACTTTCTGTAGGTTTTCGGTACATATAAGAACTTCTATGAGTCCCCTGAGGCCTTTTACACGATTTCTTCACATGGAAGTTCATCTGCAATTCCCCTAAAAATAGAAGGCCTTCTAAAAATCGTCTACGCTTAGAAGGTCTCCTATACATTGTAGATTCTATAGAAGACAGACAACCCACAGTGTTATCCAATATTTAAAACCTACCCAATATATTATGGTCCTCGACGTGACGTTTGCTATTCTCCTCTTCGGGTATCAGTGTGATGCCGGGTACCAAATATCTACTATCATCGGGTATTTCCAAATATTTGGCCATGCGTTTGATGTCTCGATGCAGCATCAATGATTCCTGGCGCATTTCCTCGGCCTTAAGACCCTGAATATATGAGTGAAGGCGATACATAAGTGGTGCCTGTTTAATCGGATGCAAGGAAATGGCATTGTGGATTTCTTTGCGTTTCAATTTGCCGGTGAATGCGGCTCGACCACTGGAATTGTGGCGGAGGATGTATTGCATCTGAAAATCCAAGAGAAATTATTATTTATTCGGAATTCTAAAATAAATGAAATTACCTCATAATTCCATGTGCATGGAATGCCGGCAAATTTTTGCACACAGCGACCCACCTCCACATCCTCATGGGTGCTGTAGAGATTTTTCAGGCAGGTGGGTATGTGAGGAGCCACTGAAATCGAGAGAAACAAAATTTTTTAGTATATTATACATCTGTTTCGATTTATTTAATCTTACATACCTCTACGCAAAGTTTCACTGCTGAGAATGACACCAGGACCGCCCATGCAAAAGTTTTCATCAAACTCCAGGGACAAGAGGCCAAATTCTTCGGTGTTGCCTTTGCCAGCCTGGCCTGAAATCAAGGAAAAATGTTATTCGACTAAAAAAGTCAATATTTCAAGTAATTTCCCTTCGACTCACCTATAAACTGTGGCTTAGAACTATCAATTGATCTCAGGAAATTCTCCAATTTCTGGGGCTCTATGTAGACATCATCATCGGCCCGGATGAACCATTCAAACTTGTCAATGAAATTCTCATACATATAGTATAACATCATAAAGGATTTCTTCTGCGGCGGATAACGATCGTCGACATTTTTCAAACCCACCACGGGCAGCTCATCAGAGAATGAACCCTCTGAACTGAAGAAGGCAATACGACCTGGCACCTCTTTGCCCCATGTGTCGTAGACTGCTCTCGCTCGTCCTTCGATGAAATTTTTCGCTGTCATCACTCCAACAAATACCAGATTCTTTTGAGAATTTTGTATTGTATCTTCAGGTTTGAGACCGATTATTTCGAAGGGAGTTTTCAAATTGTTCGGCTTAAGACTACATCTTTTGACGATCTCAAGGGCTCGATAGTTTTTCAGCACCGTGCCAATGCACAGGCCAATGGCAATGCCAAAGCAGGCGAATATAAACGTTTTCCGCTTGGTCATGGAATTTTTGGTCATCAACATGGTGAGAAGTTGGATTTTGTAGTGGCAGGTAGGTGGTTGGGGAAATTTCTTCCGGTCTCACGGAAATCAAGAAGTGGTGAGAGAATTTGCGTTAGATTAACTCATTGATATCTGCAAAGAGAAAACAGAAGGAAATAAGTTAAATTAATTTTGAAAAATTAAAAAAAATTAGGCGGACCTGAGGAATTTCAGGAATTTCAAAGGGTGTTGGGAAGAGAGATCTGGCATACATTGTGAAGAATACATTATCGGCTTCTCTGAGAAGACCTACGGGTCTTCTAAGGGAGAGAAGACCTAAGGGACTTCTATGAGAAGTCCTACGGGGCTTCAATGAGAAGACCACCAGGTCTTCTATGAGAAGACCACCAGGTCTTCTATGAGAAGACCCAGATCTTCTATGAGAAGACCGCCAGGAATTCTATAAGAAGACTTCCAGGTCTCTATGAGAAAACCTCCAGCTCTTCTATGAGAAAACCTCCAGCTCTTCTATGAGAAAACCTCCAGCTCTTCTAGGTGAAGACCTCCAGCTCTTCTAGGTGAAGACCTCCAGCTCTTCTAGGAGAAGACCTCCGGCTTTTCTAGGAGAAGACCTCCAGCTCTTCTAGGAGAAGACCTCCAGCTCTTCTAGGAGAAGACCTCCAGCTCTTCTAAGAGAAGACCTCCAGCTCTTCTAGGAGAAGACCTCCAGCTCTTCGAGGAGAAGACCTCCAGCTCTTCGAGGAGAAGACCACCAGCTCTTCGAGGAGAAGACCACCAGCTCTTCGAGGAGAAGACCTCCAGCTCTTCGAGGAGAAGACCACCAGCTCTTCGAGGAGAAGACCTCCAGCTCTTCGAGAAGAAGACCACCAGGTCTTCTAGGAGAAGACCTCCAGGTCTTCTAGGAGAAGACCACCAGGTCTTCTAGGAGAAGACCTCCAGCTCTTCTAGGAGAAGACCTCCAGCTCTTCTAGGAGAAGACCACCAGGTCTTCTAGGAGAAGACCACCAGGTCTTCTAGGAGAAGACCACCAGGTCTTCTAGGAGAAGACCTCCAGCTCTTCGAGGAGAAGACCACCAGCTCTTCGAGGAGAAGACCTCCAGCTCTTCGAGAAGAAGACCACCAGGTCTTCTAGGAGAAGACCACCAGGTCTTCTAGGAGAAGACCACCAGGTCTTCTAGGAGAAGACCACCAGGTCCTCTAGGAAAAGACCTACAGGTCTTCTAGTAGAAGATCTTCAACTCTTCTATGAGAAGACCTTCACGTCTTCTAGGAGAAGACCTTCGGAGAAGACCTCCGGGGTCTTCTATGAGAAATCCTCCAACTCTTCTATAAGAGGACCTCCAGGCATGCTATGAGAAGTCGTCTATGAGATGACCTTCTGGTCATCATTGAAAAAATCTTTTTTTTCTGAGATGACCTGACCTGAATTAATTTTTTGTTCCCTGAAATCGGTTCATGGGTGCTGACAGCCATAAATATTTCAAGCAAAGATTTAAATAAATAGCCTGAATTAAATTAGTTGTTGAGACTGCTGAGCTATTTAAGTTAATAAATTTATGGCGTGCATCACGTTCTATTATTTTCAATTAATTCATTTGATGGAGAAATCTGAACAGTAATGCAGGCTGGATGAAGTGAAGAGGTAAAGTGTTTAAATTTTGAAATAGGTTTCTTAATGCATATGATTTTAGAAATTTCGAAAGCTATAAATATTGGAAATCTTATATATTGTGAAGGGATTTTCCATAAACGAAGCTAATCGCAAAGAGAAATACAATTGAAAATGTTTAAAAAGGTCCTTGGATTTAAAATTGAATATAAGCCGTTGTATTTTGGGATCCTCCAGTATCAGACCGTGGAAATGTTGTAACCATATACCATTTTCTTCTTCCAGCAATATGTTATGTTTTTGTCGTTTTTTTCATAACTAAAATTACAGGGTACGTTTCTACTAATTCATGTTTAGTCTTAATGCCGGAATATTGATGTCAATGTTTTGTCGCCTTTAGTAAAGCTCATTTACGGCGTGAACTTGCCAAAATGTCTAAGAACACTTGTGGACATGAAATCAATTTTATGAATGAACGAATGAATGAACAATACACCCACAATTATGAACAAAGGGACAGGTAGACCTCTTCGAATGCAATGTAAAGTGGAGGAATAAAATGTATAATCTGTCATCATCTTCATAGCAGTAATCGTGGATTTTTTGAAGAATATTCTTCAAGGGTCTTCAGAGCAATAATCGTGGATTATATATATTTCAAGGATCTTCCAAGGAATAATCGTGGGTTATATATATTTCAAGGATCTTCGGAGCAATAATCGTGGATTTTTTAAGGAATATTTTTCAAGGACCTCCAGAGCAATAATCGTGGATTTTTTTAAATAATATTTTTTAAGGATCTTCAGAGCAATAATCGTGGATTTTTTTAAAGAATATTATTCAAAGATCTTCAGAGCAATAATCGTGGATTTTTAAAGAATATTTTTTAAAGATCATCAGAGCAATAAGCGAGAATTTTTTAAAGAATATTTTTTAAAGATCATCAGAGCAATAAGCGAGAATTTTTTAAAGAATATTTTTAAGTATCTCAGGAGCAATAAAAAAGAATTTTTAAAGAATATTTTTAAGGATCTTCAGAGCAAAAATTGCGGATTTTTAAAGAATATTTTTCAATAACCTTTAAAGTACTAACACTTTGCAACACAAAAAATAAAAAAAAATCCGGCATAAAAACAAATAATTTTGTCGGGCATGTTTTTAAGAATAATTTTTAAGGACCTTCAGCGGAATGATCGTGGAGTTTTGAAGAACAATAAAAAATCCATGCATAATCATAGATGTTTTTAGAGAATATTTTTCAAGGATCTTCTGAGCAAAGATCCCAAATTTTAAAATAGTTTTTTCTTTTTCGGAAATAATAATAGAACAATCTTTACTTTTTACAGCAAAAAGTCTTCAAAATCTTTCCTTTTGAAGTTTACTGAGTCGGATATTCCTGGAATCATTGCATGGACCCATATCAATTTTTTCTGTCCAAAACTATTTCAATGACTTGATATGTACACCCAAGAAACCAACAATGACTTCATTATTAAATCTCAGAATGTCAGCTCTAACACTTCACCCAATACCTACATCTGCCCATCCTAGACACCAACAGTGAAACTAAAATTAGTAATATTTAGTACTTTTTCAACATTTATATAGTACACTTTTCCAAAATCACCACCAGGTACCAACAGAAACCTCGACATCAAACTTCGGGGTTCCAGGTCTATACATTCACTCAATACAAAATTTATTACCTTTTAGTAGTATTTAAACAAAACTATCTCCATATTTTAATTCCAGATACCAGCGGAGACTTCAATATCAAATTTGTGGATTCCAATGCTATCCCTTCACCCAATATGAAATTTTGCATAATTTAGTAATTTTCGTACAAATATAGTACGCATTTCCAAAGCATCGCCAAATCTCAAATAAAGAAACCATCAGTAATTTCATAATTGTATCTCCAGTCCTTCACTCAATATCAAATATAGTACCATTTAGTACTTTCGTACAATTAGAGTGCACGTTTACAAAACCACCTACCTCCATGTGTCCAGGCTACGCATGATCAGGGACTTTAATACAAAATTCCATGTGTCTAGAACTATCTGTTCCACCCAATACCATATTGTACCAAATATAGTACAATTTAGTACTTTTCGTGCACATGAATTACAAATTTTCAAGACCACCCCTTTATCGCAATCCAACCACCAATAGGGACCCCCATTACAAATTTTGTACAATTTAGTACAGTAAGCACACATTTAGTACACAATACCAAATCCACCTCCATACCTCAATTTCAGATACCAACCGGGACTTCAATATCAAATTTCGGGATTCCAGCTCTATCCCTTCACCCAATACCAAATTTAGTACCATTTAGTACTTTTCGTACAAATACATAACACATTTCCAAACCACCGCCAAATCTCAAACAAAATTTAGTATTACTTAGTACTTTTCGTACAAATATATGAATATATCCGAAGCCGCCTCCATATGCCCAGGCTACACGTGAACAGCGACCATAATACCAAATTTCGTATTTAAAGAAATATCTGTTCACCCAATACAAAATTGTACCAAATTTTGTATTATTTACTACATATCGTACAATCCAAAACCACCTGTTTGCTATAAACCAGGGACCTCAATACAAGATTTCAAAATTCTAGCTTCACTTGTTCAACCTAAACCAAACTGTTCCAAATTTAGTACAATTTACTACAGTAAGCGCACATTTAGTACACAATACCAAATCCACCTCCATACCTCAATGGCAGATACCAACCGGGACTTCAATATGAAATTTCGGGATTCAAGTTCTATCCCTCCACCCAATACCAAATTTAGTACCATTTAGTACTTTTCGTACAAATAGGTGAATATATCCGAAGCCACCTCCATTTGCCTAGGCTACACATGAATGGCGACCCTAATACAAAATTTCGTATTTAAAGAAGTATCTGTTCACCCAATACCTAATTTTACCAAATTTTGTACTATTTAGTACATTTCAGACAATCCAAAACTACATATTTGCTACAAATCAACCACCAACAGGGGCCGCAATACAAAATTTCAAAATTCCAGCTTCACCTGTTCAACCTAAACCAAACTGTTCCAAATTTAGTACAATTTACTACAGTAAGCACACATTTAGTACACAATACTAAATCCACCTCCATACCTCAATTGCAGATACCAAACGGGACTTCAATATGAAATTTCGGGATTCAAGTTTTATCCCTTCACCAATTCAATTAAATATCAAGAACAATCTGTTCATCCAATACCAAATTGTACCAAATTTTGTACTATTTAGTACATATCGTACAATCAAAAACCACCTCTTTACTATGAACCAACCACTAACAGGGACACCAATACCAAAATTTTCAAAATTCCAGCTTCATCCGTTCACCCCAAACCAAACTGTTTCAAATTTAGTACCATTTTGTACAGTTCGCACACTTAGTACACATTTCCAAAACCTGCTTCATATATCGGACTTATTTTCCAAAATTGATGCTCATAGCAAATTTTCAGTTTTTAGCTCTAT